AAGCACTTAGAATTTACTATTCTACCTAAACTATAGATTTTAGCTAACTACCTATAGAGAACCTAAGAAAGGCCTATAAGTATTAAAAGCTATAGCTAATATTAATAAAATAAGAGAACTTTAAAGTAAAGTAGCCCTAGACTTAGAATTTATTAGGATATAAATAAAGAAATACACTAACACTTTAAGGATTAAGGGACTAACCTTTAAAGAGCAAGATAGCGTATACCTCTTTTAATAAAATATTAAAATAAAGTAACTAAATAATAAACTTAACTATAAAAAACTTAGACTATTTAAGATTCTTAAGAAGATCTCTAGCGTTAACTATAAACTTAACTTACTTAATATAATAAAAGTTTACTTAGTTTTTTATATTATACTACTAAAACTAGCACTATAAAGATTAAATACTAATAACTATATTATTATTAAACCTTATAAACTAAAGTATAAAGTTAAAAAAATTATTAACTAACGCTATAAAAAAAAAATAATACTTAGTTAAGTAGAAAAATTATAAATATAAAAATAACTTATAGGAACTAGTTAAGAACTTTTAGTACTCCTAGTAGCTTCTATAAGTATACTAAAGTTAAAACTTACTAAGTCTAAATTATTTTATATAGCGCTTTAGTTAATAACACTAAAGGCACTATTAGACTATACTTTATAAATAATAGTAGATTTTACTAGAACCCCTTTAGACTCCTTAAGAAGAGTATTTAAGATGCTTTAACCTTTTTTAAATATTATTCTTTTTACTTACTAAAGATAATCTAACTTTACTAGAGATTTATCTATTTTAGCCTACGCCCTTTATAGCGCCTTAGTACGTTTTTAAAGAAGCTATTTAGCCTTTTCCTTTTTATAATCTAATTAATTAGACTTAGTTAGAAGATAATTTACTATTACTTATTAAAAATAAAGAAAACTAATAAAAAAAGAAGCCTTATACTTATAAATAGTACTTATAGTTATATTATATAAATAACTATAATAAGTACACTTATAACACTTTAACTTCTTTATAAGTATCTTATAATAATAACCTACTAACTAATAAAATAAATAAGGTATAATAATAAAACTAAATTCTTTAATTTCTAATATAAGCTTTAGATAACGCTATATAGAAAAAGCTTTTTAATAATCCTTTTTACTAGATATAGTATTAGTATAAAAGATTAAGGATTAAGATTAATAACTCCCTAACCTAGGAGAGGGAAGACCTAATATTATAACCTAATAAGTTATAGGCTATATTACCTTATAAGCAGATAATAGGCAGTAGTAGTATTTATATAAATAAGAGATAAAGGATAGATAGATAACTCCTTATATAAATAAGAAATAAGGGACAGATAGATAACTCCCTAGAATAATTATATAATAAGGTAATTACTAGTAATTATAGGTAATAAGCACTCCTAGTAAAGGACTTACTAGTATATAAAAATAGTAATTACTTATAACTATTAGTTAATAGGACTGTTTAGGGAACAGCTAGGACTTATATATAGGATAGACTTAGATACACTTAAGGATAGACTTCTATAGCTCTTTAGTAATTAACTTATAATATATTCTTTAAATACCTTTTAGTATCTAACCTTAGTGATTTAATTAATAAGAGCTATATAAGCTACCCCTATGACTATTAACTACATAACTAATTACTAGGTGATTAATAGACTAGTAAGACGATAATTACTGTTACTAAGTATCTCCCTCTGCTTACTATTAGTAGAAACCCTACTGCTTAGAAACTAGCTGTAATAACTAGATAAAAAGATCTAGTCTTACTTTTACTAATATTAAAGAAACAAGACATCTCTATACTTAAGTACTTTATTTCCTAATACTTTTAGCTACTTTAGGCTTTCTCTTAGTTAGAGATAAAAAGTATTTATAATAATAACTTTAAGTAAGAGAGTCTAAGTAATAGCTTACTAGGCTTCTTAATAAATATAGTAGTTAAAGTATTATAAGACTTTTATGTAATTACTTATATTTACTTTATTTATAGTATAGTTATAGTTATCTATTAGCTAAGGGACTAAGAGGCCCTTCTAGACCTCTAGACTAAAGATAGTCTAAGTAGCCTACTTTACTACTATAGTACCAGTAGGCTAGTAGTACTACTATATTATATAATTAGCCTAGCTACCTCTATATACTATAATAAAAAAAGTATAAAGGTATTATTTTTTATATATAATTTAATTAACTTATAAGAAAGTAAACTAATTAGTATAGGTTTTTATTAGAAGTAAGAATATCTCTAATATTCTTATATTTCTTTATCTTATATTTCCTCTATTATAGAGGTTATATATTTATAAGATATATATATATTTATAATCTACTAACTTAGTAGATTAATATATATATTAATTACGTAAGCATGTTTAATTACGTAATTAACAGAAGATTAGAGAAGGTACTAAAATGTCTAAGATCTCTTAAGATCCTACCTTCTAACTCTATCTTTCCTATAAGGTTATTACTTTAAGTTAGGGTTATTTACTTAAGGTTATTAAGTTACGTAACTAAAGGTTAATTTATAAGCAGCTTACGTAAGTATAGAATATTCTAGTAAGCTAAGTACAGCTATATATAGGCTAGAATTCTTCCTGTTTCTAGTTTCCTTTTCTTTTTTCTCTAAGTAAGTAAATAGTTAACAATTTAACTACTATACTCTCTTTTAACTATATATCCTTATATTTACTATTTACCTACCCTAGGTATAAGTATTTATATCTCCCTTTTATCTTATATTCTTGCTTCTATAAGATATATCTTTATATAAGAGATATACTCTCTTATATTCTCCTAAGCTAGAATTCTCTATCTAAGAGACTAGCTTACCTGTTATGCTAATAGTTTTCTATATAGTACTTTAGTTTAAAGATATATATTAGCTTATGAAAAGTAGAAATAAAGTATACTTAGCCTTATAAAATACTTTAGCCTCTATTGCTTTTTCTAGTAATAAGTATAGTATTAATACTACTATTTTTTTAGTATATACTAAAGAGTTTAACTTACTAGTTTTAAAAGGCTTAAAAAAGGCTAATAAAGCTAAGTGTTAGCACAATAGGTAAGCTAGTCTCTTAGATAGAGAATTCTAGCTTAGGAGAATATAAGAGAGTATATCTCTTATATAAAGATATATCCTATAGAAGTAAGAATATAGGATAAAAGGGAGATATAAATGCTTATACCTAAGGTAGATAAATAGAGGATATAAGGATATATAGTCAAAAAAGAGTATAGGAGTTAGATTATTAACTATTTACTTACTTTAAGAAAGAAGAAAAGGAAACTAGAAATAGGAAGTATTCTTGCCCTTATATAGTTATACTTAGCTTACTAGAATATTCTATACTTACATAAGCTGCTTATAAATTAACCTAGTAGACGTATAAGATAATAACCTTAACTAAATAACCCTAACTTAAAGTAATAACCTTATAGGCAAGATAAAGTTAGAAGGTAGGATCTTAGGAGATCTTAGACATTCTAGTACCTTCTTTAATCTTCTGTTAATCACGTAATTAGACATACTTACGTAATTAATATATATATTAATCTACTAAGTTAGTAGATTAAAAATATATATATATCTTATATATATATAACCTCTATAATAGAGGAAATATAAGATAAAGAAGTATAAGAATATTAGAGATATTCTTACTTCTAATACTAAGAAGATTATTTAAAGATATATAATATATTATAGCTAGTAGTAAGGTAAAAAAAAGTTATAACTACGTACTAAAATAATATTAACTAAGGCTTTAGAAGCCTAGTAGGATTTAAAGACCTAGTAGGATTTAAAGTTTTAAGTAGTAGTTTATATAGACTAAAGCTATATATATACTTAAGCTACTAAAAGAAGTACTTAGACTAAGTAAGTACTTATACCTTAAGCTAGTTAAGATTAGCTTTATTAAGATAGTTATTATCTTTTAGCCTTAGCTTATAAATTAACTATTACTTTATTAATAGTAAGATTAAAGCTAGCTATATTAAGTAATTCTCTAGCTACCTAAATATAGGCTAACTATTAGTTAACTTTTTAATATATATCTAGTATTCAGGCCTTACTTTAGCCTACTAGCCCTTAAGTTACTAGCTCTTAAGTAGAGAACTTAAAAGTATTAAATATCTAGAGCTAAGTATAAAGTTATTAAAAGTAGTTATAAGATATAAAGTATATAAATAAGTATATTAGATCTTTTTTTTACTAATAAGTTAATTAGTATCTTACTATTTAAGATTTGAAGTATATACTTATATAAATTAAAATACTTAAGAAAAGTAGATCTTATTAGTTAAGAAATTTCTTTATTTATATACTTATAATCTTTTTTAATAAAGGCTAGTCTTAAATAATAATATAATATTAATTAAAGTAACTTACTATTAAGCTAATAATAAGAATATATAAAAAGAAAAGGTTAACTAAAGTATTTAGTAGCCTATAGACTATAGGCTACTAGTCTAGTACTTTAAAAGAAATATAGAAGCCTAGTAGGCCTAGCTCTACTAGAGGCTTATTAGGCTAAATTATTATATTATTATACTACTCTAGATAATAATTATTTAAGTAAGTAATAGTAAGGTTCTTTAGTAGTATCTTTATAAAAATAATACTACAGATAAAGATATTAGAGTTAGATATTATAGTTTATAATAAGGATGTTAGTAGTAATATTAAAATTAGTAGTAGTTACTAAGAAAATAATATTTAAAATTTAATATATTGTTATGTATTGCTAAAAGTGAAGGGTAAAAGTGGGAGTGTATCCACCAAGGGGTTAATGAGGTCTGGTGGCAACTAAAGGGATAGGCTTTCCATCACGGAATCAAAACTGGCAAAGTCCTCAACAACGCTATTATTCGACTTGGTGCTTTTTACATCGCCAGCCATCGTGCAGGAGTCATTCGTTTCGTTCTATTTGCAAATACGCACAATCGCTTTTTTTACAATGGCTTTCCAACGTTTCTCCGCCGTGCTCTTGCTTCTGAGCGGTGCACTTATTGGCTTTGTAAGCTTTTGATTCAAAGTCGGCCACGCTCATCGCATCAGCGGATGGCCATGGCATCTTTGCAAGCCTTCTAACCTCTAATCCCAGATCTCTGCTCAACCGACCCGTCCTTTCGCCGTTGGTAGCCCGACTTTGAGGTCATTTTAGAATGACCTGACTAACCATGGTATAGGGCAACCAAGCTTACGCCCTGGACTACGACAAAGACGAAGCAACTGGGAGATGGGTTTTCAAGGTCTACGGAGATGGCTACGGTGCGAAGGACGAGCAGGGTGAGCAGTCGTCACTCGACACAATCATGGTCAACACGAAGACAAAGCGCCTCACTGTCGTCAAGGCCATGAATGGACTGGACAAGACGGAGCCCCGCCTTAAGATGCGACAGGTCCTCAAGGAGTGCTGGACGATGACGGGCCTTCAGACGTCTGAGCTGAAGGAGGTACTGGGCTACAAGATCGAGAACACCGATATGAAGGCAGCCCTCGCGGATTGCCGCAACAGTATGAGCCTGGGGCCTAGTGACTCTTTCGTGCTGTCGACCACGGACACGGACCCGGCCAAGAAGACGTGCTGGAACAGACTCGACAGAACAATCTTTTCAGCCTCCATCCGGGGTACAGTTGCCGATTTCGGTATCAACAAGAAACTCATGCAGGTCAAGGTGGACAACGGGGGACCCTGGGACTACATCTATTACGAATTCTCATGAGGCGGGTCTTGGAATCGGGAGACGAGTCGACGACATATACCGGAGTACCCAGCATTGCACTTTAAAAGCCAAACGAATCACGAATAAACGATATCCACATCATGTCGCCGTCCATACGTACACAGTAATCGAAATAATTAATACAATCGAAATATATTCTGCATCCATGCCTCAAGCCTGGGTTATATCTGATGGATTACCTGACTCGTATGCTGTCTCATGACGGCGTATGGATACAATGCCGTTGCAATCCCACAGCCCCTGTGACGCTTTTCAAGATATCCCCTCAACCGAGATAAGGCCATATCTCCACAGTGGGCACCAATCATTACCCCACAAAGGTCAAAAAATGTACAGTACTTCTATCTACGGCGATTTTTGTCTATACCAGAGGTAATAGTGATTTCCCTCTCTCTAAAGAGCCACGCTATAAGTGAGGTAATCACGGATTCTTATCACGTGAGTGTAGTGCGGAGAAATAAGTGGAGACATGGCCTTATCGCGGTTGAGGGGATAATATAGGCATGGGTGTGTTGGTGGGGTCATTTTGCTACCGTAGCCACTGGGCAAATTTGCAATTAGCTAATGCATGTGCAAGTCAGAAAGAGTATAGCGGCCGCTAAATAAGGCTAGTGTTCTAGCAGAAGCAGGAATCTAGTGATAGTAAAAGCATTATAACAGTAGGTATGCACGGTTGCTGGTAAATTGACGGCCCTCTAAGCCTATCCTAGTTAGCTACTTGCTTACTTCAGTTAGTCACTGCAGAAATACTTCATCGTATATTCCATTCCATCACGCGAACATAACCAACTAACCCAGACCCTAACCCAGACCCTAACCATCCTAGCCACTAACCCTACGCATCTGTAAAAGCATATATAAAAGATGCATAGGGTTAGTGGTTAGGGTCTGGGTTAGTTGGTTATGTTAGGGTGGTGGAATGTGTTATTAGGGTGTGCTGTGGTGGTAGTGGCTAGAGGGCCGTCAATTTACCGGCAACCGGTATGCACGTGGGCAGCAGGTAAGTGAGTGGGTAGGTAGTCTCATCGCCTTCTTTGACAGGTTTGGTTTAGTCTCTTGAGCGGCCGCGATTGTCTCTATGGTTGGTACGTGCATTAGCCAATGGCAAATTTGCCCAGTGGCTACGGTATGATACGGCCTTCAAAGCCGTCTAAAGCTTCCACTTTTCTATCGTTGAACTCACTTGCACAGTCCACTTCGTTTCTAATGCTGTGATGAGAAAAGTGAAGCTACAGTTGCCACTGCTCCAACTGCACCCATTACAACCCCAACATAACCATATTTATATGCTCCTTACGAATCCTAACACTAATCTGAACCAAAGTTATAGCCTGGCGTCAGCCAACAAACGTGCCGCTTTCCAACCAAGACGAAGCTCGTCTTATAAGGAGGGAAAACGTGGGTGCAGACAGGTGAATGTAGGCCTCCTTACAACAGGTTCAGAGGCGGCAAGAACCCGTCATTCTACAGATGCCGTGCCGCAGCGGGATCTCTGCATTCGGGACCATTAACCTGTTCCGACTAATCATTAATTTTCTAATTATGACGACGACTCCTTGAGCAACGACTCTTAGTGATCTACATCCTAAACACAAAGCATGTCCAGCTTGTCCTCCTCATCATTCCGGTAATCAACCATATGCATCACTTGGTGTGTTTTCCCGATCTTCCCCCCTACATCTCTTCCTATCACATGAGTTAGTTGAGCGGGAAGCGTGAGTGTCTTGGCTGCTGCTAGTTGACGATGGCTGGTGGCGTTGTTGCTTGCAAACGGAGCGTCGAAGGAAGAGCCAATGTGAAGATAGGGTGCAAAACCTGCAGGTTAGTTGCCAAGAACAATTCCCATGACAGATTCACGCCCCAGCAAATTTCAGCCCTGCATTTACTGTGCTGAATCAACAATAGAATTAGAAAGGTCAAATGCGACGAGGGTAAGCCGCTTGGCCGTGACTGTGTCAACACTGGCCGTACTTGCGACGGCTACGAGGCCCTCCACATGGCTCTACAGCTCTCCCGGCCCGCCTTCAGAAATACATATGGCGTTGCGGGGTCTTGCGTCCAACCTGTCATACCCGGGCCGCCACGGGCTGAGGTCGGCACTGCTTTGCTGCCAGATCTTTATCAGCATCAAGCAAGTACGGAGGAATCACGCTGCCATGGCCCAGCATATTGTTCGGGGGCTCAGGATGATGCGTGAGTACGGAGCGAGGCCTCGGTTTGTTGCCGCGAACGACCTGGCGCCAGCATGTCATGACCAACAACCCTTGCTGGTGTTTTCATCATCAAGTTATTTGCTGCGCCATGTAAATTTGCGGATGCTCTACCAGCATACGACGGAAGCGGGACGACGTTATCTGTGTGTCGGGCACCGCCTCACCGACAACTTGTTGGGTCTTCCGGCATTCGTATGATCGCACCCGACATGCGGACAAAGCTTGTAAGCATTGCTACGTCGACACTCGAGTTCCTCTGCAAGCTGGTGCATGTCGCCACGGTAGAAAGCGCTCTAGAGCTTCTGCCCCAGAAGGAAGCTCTGTTAGACTCCTTGGAGTCATGGCTCCTGATCTCGAACTCGTCTGAAACGAAGCCGGAGGTCCTGGCCACGAGCTTCTTTCAGTCTCTTTCCTGCGCTTGTTTCATCTCATTCTGAAAATCCTTCTCTTGGGCGCATTGGACTCTTCGCCAGACCTTGAAGCCGAGGTGCAGATCGAGAGCGGCCGACTTCAGGCCGTAGCCGAGGACGCGGGTGAAAGCGCCAGAACTTATATAACGTGCGACGGGACTGGTGCAACCAAAAGCTAGGAACTAAAATAGGAAATGGCCGATGGTACTCTCCCAAGTGGCTTAGTGCAATTCGAAATGCAAACAGAAGACCCCGGGTCAGACGCCATGCGTGCGTACGATTGTAATGATTATTCACGGGATTTAGTTACAGCGTATAGACCGAATAACCAGTTGGCCACTGGTTCTTTATTGGAAGCGGCTTCCGCCCCAGGCGTGGTTGTTTACCCTGATAGGTTTGATCAACTTTCTAGATGAATCAACAGCCTCATCATCCTTGGTAAGGAAATACATTCACTTCATCTCCGAAATCGGGCTGAGGGGTTGGTCGACGACGACCCTCCTTGTCAACGGTGATGCATTCCCTCCCTCTCAACGCAAGTGAGCCCTAGTACACCCTTCTTGGCCATATAGCGGTAACCCGTGTGTGTGCCCCCTGACAACCTCAAGCCTCTTTCTGATCTTACACTGGTCACAAGCTTGTCATGGTTAGAACCCTATATGAGCAACGCTCTTTTTGCGGCGCCTCCTCCCACCCTCCGCAGCCATGAGGCCAGTAGACCATCGTCCTCAAGTCCAACAGCCGCCTCGGAGCTCACATCTCACATATCCGCTCCCAGATCGGCTCGTGCGTCAATGCTCCTGGAGGTGGGAGGGTTGGAGATTTCAGGCATATCACTCTTAACAAAGGAAAGCCTTTTGACGGTTGCGATGACTAGAGTTGCGCTGTCAGTATAGCTCGTCGTCGTGAATTCGTATAAGCTCATGGCCGTGCTCGGAGTGTCTCAATTCCTAAATATGCGGCACTAATCATGGCCCTTTATTCGACATGTTCATATTATTACTACATACCAATTAACCCAACGCTCTATCACCATCGCCACAGACACGATCTTTCCGTGGTCACTCATTCCCCTGCCGAGATGCCAGATAGAAAATCATGACTGCCAAGAAGTTGGTCACGAACCCCATCCCGATTCCTGTCTTCCAAGCCTCCTGCGCATCGGCTTTGAGGGCATCTGCATTTTTGAAGAGGAGAATCCAACCGTATTCGAGCCTCTTGCTCAGCTCCGTTCCGGAACAATAGCAGCTGTCGAAGAACCCTATAAGCTCGAATATGGAGATGGCCAAGAGCCATATCGTGTTGCTGACGAGGAGAAACTGGCCCAAGAGCCGCGTCACGACCGCTACAGCTCCGCAGAACTGCAGGTAACCTGTCGTGCGGTGCGTGTACTGGTATGCTCGCATCGTAAAGTGCGAGACCCATGCCGAGAATAACATTGCGGCGCATGATGCCGTCGCGAGGACGCCGTAGATAACATAGCTTCCCGACCGGCAACCCAACCCCTTGACCACGGTTTCGTAGGATATGTAGATCGCCCAGCCTGTCGTTCCCCACTGCAACACGAGAGCGACGAGCATAGACCAGGCAACGTGCCGCCAGAAGGCCGACATCGCGGGGGGAGACATTTCGCTTAGGCTGGTATACTCGACGAGCACGTGGCTTGGCGGTCCTTGGGTGGCTGGAGGCTGTTGGTGATGACCAGCGCTGCCGTTGGCGTGGGTACTGACATTAGGTGCAAGCCCGCAGTCAGCGGAGACCTTCACGTAGTCGTCGTTTGTTATACAGGGCTGGGACAGGATTTCCCTTTGCTTCTTCATCTGGTCGGACGCGGCCCTGAAGGCCATATACAGACGATCCGCAAAATTGAGCCACGTGATTGACCGGGCGTAGTTGTAGACCGGTCCTTGTTGACGCTGGCAGCCGGCGACACTGAACATCCTTAGTCTCATTTCAGGCTGATTTGTTCTGGTAGGAGACGATGGAGCATTCACAAATCGCGTGGTAGGGTCAGCTAGCGCGGGGTGTTCTACATCGTCGACGACCTCGATCCCCGTCTCTTTGTTCTCGACACTGATGCGGCCGTTCGCACGTCGGATCGCCTCTTGGATGGTGCCTTTCTTGTTCTGGGTGCCTACCAAGACCCAGCCGATGATTACGGGAACCTGGGGAAGAAGGGGCGTTAGTGATGGTTCGCGAGAAGGGATCGACAACCGCATACGTACCAGCCATATCCAAAGAGACCCCGACGACAAGACCAACGCCTCCTCAGTATCGCCGACCTTTTGCTTCAGAGAGCCCGTGACGGTGAAGACCCAGGCGATGACAGCTACGACCAGCTGCGCGATAAGCGACAGGGTGGTCCCGCGACGGGTCGATTTCAGACTATTCGCGGCCTCGCTCCACCACGTCGTGTTCGTATCCAGTACCACCAGTCGTGCAAGCCAGCCGTCCGTCTGCAGCAGGCGTGTGGGAGCCTGTCCTGACTCGTCAGCGATGACGCGTGCGCTCTTGATCCGGGTCTTCATCTTGTCGAAGCCGTCGCCTTCACAGCTGGCAGCGAGCTCTTTGAACCTCTTCCTGATCCACCGCTTATTCAGGATCGTCATCATCAAGGAAAATGTCATGAGCAAGGGGCTTCCGAGGCCGATGCACACGCCAATGAGGTTGGCCTCCGTGCTCCCAGTCTCGTACGGGAGCTGGGCAGTAAGTGCCAGCCATGGGAGCAGGTAGTTGGTGGAACCGGAGGCGAGACGGTTGAAACTGGTGATCTGCGGCGCGTCAGATTATGGACTCAAATCGAGAGAATCGGGCGGGTTTCTTCACCATGTCCAATTCGCCACGACCGCAAAACTCTTTGCATAGCCCGCTGCTGATCCCCCACACGTCATCGGATGTAATAATATCGTTCGTCGAGCCGTTGAACCGTGTACCGTTGATGCCAATGACTATCCCACTTATGATGCGCGACCGGGTCTCATGCGTTATGTTGGCCTCCTTCTCTTCATTCCACCCGTTCAAGACTCTTCCTGCGCATTGAGAGTACCAACTGGCATCGCCGTTGCTACCGGCTTGAGGTGCAAATTGTTTGAAAACGCTTTCCAATACCGCATCGAGACTATTCTGGGTATCAACTAGCGGGTCCTGGGCCATTCGAGAAGGGGTGGGCTTTGAGCAAGGCCTACGTGGCGTACGTGGTTATCGCAGAAAAGGTTGTATAGGGGCTGTAGTTATTATTGTTGTTATTGTTTTTTTGTTTTAGTTAAGGGAACTATGACTGGACATGTGTGACTGTGGCCAAGGCCGGGGTGCACACTTCACTCTTATATTACTCTTGGTCAATTAAACAAGTCCTCCTCCTTACCATGCAAGTGGCCATGCCAAATAAGAAATAATCAGGAGTCTACGAGCGAACCAAATGTAGGCAGCAGCTGTACTGTGTAAGGCATCCTTTGGCAGGGATACAGACTGCAAGTTGATCAATAAGCTGAGGGTGTGTCTGTCTTATCAGGATGGATTAGGAAGCTGACTGCTGTGTAACCTACATATTGGCATGCAAAGACGTCAGCGTACTCTAGCATTGCCTGTTACGGACAAACCATACCTTTGGGGAGCCTTGCCCAGGCACCTCGTGGTTAATATCAAACCGAGGCGGCCAATGAGGCTTCTCGAGTCTGACATTAAGTACGAGGTCTAGACCATCCATATGAGACCACCCTCACTGAACATTCATCGAGCTGGAAAGCCTGGCACAGCCTCAAAGCCGGAGTGCTGCCTGCTCTCGCGCAGCCACAATCTGCACTTTGGGGATTATTATAGGTACTGTACGCCGCCCGTTGGGCACGCGACGTTGATCCTCCCTCCAATGTTCCTCTGCGCTATTCGTCCGTCCGAGGCGCACCAAAGAATTCTTTTGTTTCTCGCATTCCGTAGTCTCCGGAATTTGGGACCAGTGAACTTTTCAACCTAGTGTATCGCCAGTTCCCAGTGCATCGCTGAGAGGACCATGTCTGATGTGGGGACAATCTCAACGGTACAAACAGATGCGGTCATTTTCCAAGCCAAACCTCTGCCTCCTTTTTGAAAAGAATTCCCCGGGCCGGGCGAAAAGCCGTTGACGTGGTCAGGCCCGGTCGGGATCCCGTGGGAGACTCGGAGACCGGGCGGAGCTCACCGTCGGGGTGGAGCCCGTTTTCCACCCTTATTCACCTTGACTAGCGAACGGCTCAGTTTCTATCCGCTTGCCGGGCCTTTGGGAATTCGGCGTTCGAGGTTTGCATTCAATCTTCCCATCCTTCAACCAAACTCAATCCCTTGGCAGACTCTCCCACGCCCAATCACCATCGGCCGCCATCGCTCGCAATGGCAACTCTCTTCTCACGCACGAGGATGGCGATGTTCTCCAAGAGGATGGCCGGCACTGCTGTCGAGGTCCCCGTCGGCTTTCACCTCTGGACACATCAATGCGTGTTTGATGGCTGGTTCCCCCCCCAAAGCGAGCCCAGTCTTATAGCATCCCTTTCTGAAAGTGAACCCGAACGGCAACCCTGACTTTCATGACTGCAATTATAGGACCGTTTCCTTCAATGAAAGCAAGCCAGACCTGCTGGAGGATGCACTGAGTGGCAGTTCGAGGCTTGTGGAGACGTACTCAACAGGCGCCTGGGGGGGGGGGGATATGGTAAACGGCACACATTGCGAGATCCATTCCGCTGGTATTGATCATCAATAGGGTTCGGTATGCATCGTATATCGATGAAATAAAATCCCCGAAAGAACGAATCCAATGCCGCCGACCTTTGCGAGAAAGAGCAACTGCTGAACAGCGAGTATCTTATTGGTATGTAGCTCATACATGTCGTGAAGCCTCGTTCCACAACTCACCGCGAGGCTCGTGTTTTGACAACGTCCCTGCAGGCAAGATCTTTGCCGACAATTTCATCGTGGTCGAGAAATCCTCCGATTCTCATCTCTGTGACGGCCTGTTCCTGATAGTGGCGCCGGAGGCAGCTCGCGAGATGGACGCCTTCGTCGCCCTCACTACAGAGCCTAACCCCCAAGCCTGCATCAGCAATACGTCAAGCTCTTGTCGACAGCTGGCGTGGGCCATTGCGTCGCGTGACAGGCGAGACCCGAGGCTGGTGCGTGGCCATCTCCCCTCATGTATTAAGATAAGTATTACTACTATAGACTGTACAAGTTATAAGCGCGAAACCTACTCCGGCGACGGTTTCCTATGGTATCATGAAGCAAGGGTCCACACACAGGCGCGCGCGCAGCTCATTCTCAAATAACATTGGCGATGAACTTGGGCACGACAAACTCGGCGGGCCCTCCGGTGAAGGCCTCGGTTCCAAGCTGGTAGACTGTGCAGGGTGTCAGCGGGACCGTCTGAGTCCCCGGGAAAACCAGGGCTGGCGAGGGCGAGAGCGGTGGAGGGGGGACTTACCCAGCATGTATTGGTTGTGCTGCGGGAACTCGAACTGATGGCTGAGGAAGTTGAAGAACTGCTTCACGTCGGCGTTGAAGTGCTGGATCGGGCCGTTGACCGGCAGGAAGCTGTACACCTTCATGGCGCCGCCGTGGTTGTAGCCAAAGTGCAGCTCCCACTGGTGGCCGCAGATCTCGACGTGCGCGATGGGCGCCTTGGACTCGCTGATGGGCCACACGCCACCCAGCTTCGCGAGCCTGTTGGGTTCCAACAATGGTCAGCCGACGAGGCGCTCATGCACTTCCGCATCCTCTCACACGGCCGGACGCGGGTGCGTCGTCAAAGACTCACCAGATCATGACCTCAAACTCGCCGCTGCTGTTGGCGTGGTCCTTGTCGGGGTCGGTGAAGATGTCGTAGGCGACGTTGGCGCGCACGTCCCAGGTGCTGTAGTGCCACTCGGCCTCGGTCGGCATGGCCTGGATCTCGCTCAGGAGGCGGCGCTCGAACTGGCGGGCGCCGTAGACGTACGATTTGACGTTGTGCTCGCCGCCCCGCCACTCCCAGTCGGAGGACCATGAGATGCCGACGGCCCCGGAGGCGCCGGGCGGGCTCGGCCCGTCGTAGTGCGTGCGCTGGGAGCCGGAGGTGGCGCTCTCGAGGCCCCAGGTGTTATTGTTGAGCTCGTACCCGTCGACGGCGTGGTAGGCCCATTTCTTCTCGAGGCTGACGATGTGGTTGGGCGGCGGCGGCATGTTTAGCGGCGGCTGCGCGGGACGGGCTGGCTCAAGTTCGTGAGGGGACGAGTCGTCGGAGGTTGAGCAGCAGGATCCCATGAGAGGCGACTCTACTCTTGTCGGTGGCCAGGGAGGCCTTTTTTCTCTATCAGACGATCAAAGACTAAGTTATGTGACCGGGAAGTGAGGGGGCAAGCTAGGTACCAGTTTGGATATGGCGGCGTGTGCTGGGTTAGGCCTGGTCAGTATTACCTAGGAAGACGGGCAAGCTGGAGAAGCGCATCTCTAGAACCAGGGGAAACTGGGCCTTTTGGGGAACAAATACGCATCCCTGGAGCTCTCTCTCTCTCTCTCGGCAGTACTGGACCGCCTGGAACTCCACACGCAGCGTGCGTCAGCTCTGATCCCTACCAAGGCCTCATGGCAAGCCGGGAGCCGGTTGGCTGACGTCAATGGTTTAGGGTTTTTCGTGGAAAAGAAAGCAGGGCAACGGCGGAGCCTAGAAACATCGAGGTTGGTGGAGGGGGGGCGGGTTGGCAAGCCCATTATTAGAAACATTTAAAGCTGGTTTCTAGCCCGTCCAGGGACCTGGCCTGGGCCGTTGAGGCATTCAAAAGAATGATGGGGGAACCCATTGTGAGTGGACATAACGAAAACCTCTTGGATCGAAGCAATCGAATAACTAGTTGATGGTCATGCCAGAGACGGGTTCGACGCATGGGTGTCACTTCCTGATCGTGCTGCAGTATTTGGGTCATTAAGCCAATTAACCAGGGATTCTCACCCATGTCGGTAGACGCTGTAAACCGCCTTAGTTCAGGGTTTCAATTTGCAAAGCAACAAAATGTTCAAGCTGCATCGTCATTTGCATGCATGTTCTTTTGATTTAACCCAGCACTTTGAGTAGGTAGTAGAAGGTTTCGAACTTATATGCATTGTCGGCTCTTTTCCCTCTGCAGCCCTACATGTTTATTGTCCTACTGGAGGCCAATGCAAGGTATATCTATGATAGGACATTTGATTGAAATGGACAATATTTGGTACTGTGGACATTCCGATTTTTTGAGACAAATGCAGCTACAGTGACTATTAAAATCACTTGGCAGTCTGGATAAAGCGGCATCATAGCCTCAGACACGAGCCGCGAATGTTTATAGATAGATGCCCAACGATACAGCAAAGTCTGCATTCATGCCTCTTGACGAAACTCTTGGCCATGTAGGCTGATTGGTAGGCACTGAGATTATGGCACAACCACGTTATTCTTGTCAATCACAGGAAGGGACTTGCGTTTTCAACCGATACTCGCTCTTGTTCGAGATTCAAGGTCAAGTTTTGAACATCCGTCACAACCGTATAATTGTTTCAGTGAACCAAGGTCAGAATCGCAGTCCCGCATCCTCACTGCCAGCGGTATTAGACTCTATGTTGGAAGCATGCGATGTCTGGACGCTGCTTGGCGAGCCACCCTGCATCGATGCGAGTAGAGATGGGTTTATAGTATTGAGCTTGACATCATTAACCATCTGTCTCGATAAAATTACATGAACGCGCATGGTCACTTGGTGGCCGATCAAAGGGGAATTGTTATCGGCCTATGATGTAGCGCAGGGTCGGATGCTGACTTTGGAATGAATGGCCACGGATGGTGCTGCAATTTGGCTGAATCGCTTTCTCCTAGCTCTTGTACATCTCGCACGACTGCCGAATGTCTTCAACCCATTTTGTTCTAACGTCAACCTCGTCGTTGCGGGCGATGTTGCGTGCGCGCGATACAAAAAGGGCCTAGAGGTTTCCAGTGCCGTGTAAGCCCAGGGCTTGCCCCACGATATGAGGCAAGGTGCTCGACGTTTGATGGGTGTACCAGTGCGCGTGGAACATGGATTCAAATGTGCTACTACCAGCATAGGAAGGGGTTGGTTCTCAGCCCTACCATGCGACACTCCTCAGGGACACTTTGGCAGACAAGGGCAAGGTTCGGAGGGGCTTCTTCAACGCGTCCTGGATTGGATCAACCGGTTCCGGGCCTGAGGGTTTTCGATCCGGTACGCATCCAGGTGCCGCCATCAGGCTTAAAGTCTCCCCGGAGAGACCATTGTGGAGGGAAGGATTTATAGAAACACTGGGGGAAATTGGAAAAATAGAGGGCTCGGCGGCTTATCGAGTGCTCGTAACGACAGAGCTTCCCGAGTGCATGATTCCCCCTGTGTTTCGTCGTGAAATCTTCCTGGAAGCCTCGCACTCTTTGCCAAGCCTAGCCGCAATAATCCGACTCACGGCTCTCACGGCTCTCACGGCTCTCTGCACATTCCGGAAAGGCAATCTAGAGTTGAGTCCATGAGAAACCGGAAGATGAGGTACGTACGGCGATCTCCGACTCGGCTCGGTTTCCCAGAGGCGCCAAGGCCCAATCGCCCCTGGGAAGAAAGAAGTCTCTCAAAACGCCAAGACGCCGCGCAGCCGATGCGCCCGCGGCGACTCGTGTGCGTCGCCCAAAGGTGCCAATTAGTTCCCTCTGTCCCCCCCCCCCCCCCCCCCCCCGTCACTGATCAGTTTGGATCCCCCCGCCGCGTGAGAGCCTAAGGGGAGGATGCACGCGCGCGCGCGGGCTTCTTGGCCGAGGCGGCGCCAATGCTTTTGGGCGGGACGAAGGGGCCAGACGGTGAAGTGACCGCCGCGTGCGGGTGCAACCAACTTCGGCGACTTCGGCTGAAGATGGCACGGGACCCAGGTGGTTTGTTTCAAGGGCCTCGAAGATGCGCGCTGCCCATCCGGGTGTGTCCAGTATTGTGAAGATCACCGCGGGGGGTGATTTGGACTCTCTTGCAAGGGGTCTCGGGAGCAAAGCAGAATCGTACGAGCCGTCGAACCGAAGGCTTGCCCAGGACCGTTAGCTCGCTCAGCATTACGAACCACTGATAGTCGGGAGGAGCTTGAGAGTCTCGACGGGCGGGGCGGAAACGTTAGGCCAAAGCTTTGTTTGTGCTCGGCATCCGGAGTGGGAACACGGCACGGGTAGCACGAAAAGCTGTGGGCGGATGGCCAATCTCGACGTTGGTCGGAGTCATGTTCGTCATACGCGCGAGGTCAAGATCGGATCAGCGGCTTGAGGGGGGGGAGGGAGAGAGAGAGAGAGAGAGAGAGAGAGAAAGAGAGAGATGAGCCGAGCCGAATCCCTGGCTGGCCATGTCTTTTTGGAGTAATTTTTGACGGTGGGCGCGCTTGGCAAGCTCGCCAAGCCATGGTGCTACAGTAGCGATATTTTAGACAGCTTCTGAGATGCGTAAGAAGGGGTTAGAATGTCTGGGCAGCGCAAAGTGAAAAAGAAGGGCTTCTGGGGTCGTCTCCAGACTCGTTTGTCGATATTCGCCAAGGTCGAAGCAGGGGACATGAGTGTGCCAATCATCATCACCCACGCTGCCGCCCACAACTCCCTCCTCCAAATGGACCCTGAATAAGTTACATGAGAGAGTGGGACTTTGGATTCATTGAGATTGGTGGTTGAACAGATGCGCCTCTGCACTGACTGCATGTGTGTACGGGAACCTATATCCCTACCTGCTATTGGCATTTCTCAAACGCCCGTTTATTGACAAGTCGGTTCGCCAAGGAAGCTTCAGGGTGTGAATATGTATCTCAGTCTGCACGCGGACAGGCATGTCTCGGCACTGGTAACTTGGGGTCCGGCTGAACGAACCCTGCCACATGACGGATGCAGACGAGCAGACAAAGGAGGGTTGCTTATCACGATGGAGGCCATGCCCCCCAAGCCAAAACCGCCAAAATGGCAATTTCGCTCTTCGCCGTATCCCCCGCGATCCTTCGCGTCCGTACCGTTGTGTGCCCCCGTCCCCTCTCTCTCGAGTGCTCACAAACGCGAGGCCCATGACATTAGACTCAATCGAAGCTGAAGGAAAAACAAAAGCCGGTTGCGGGAACGAGGATGTGACGGGCAACGGACTCTTCGGGTATGCTCAAGTGCGCGCCGAGTCAAACAAACAGGGCGCCATGCCAAATGTCATGGCATTTCACCAGAGGCGGACCGGACGGAAGAACAGCAAATCACGCCCGAAACATCAGAATGCCATGTCCCCTTGGCCCCCCTCCGCCAATGTCGGGCAACCGTCATGCGCGGAATGCTCGTGCTGCCGCTTCACCACTGCCGAGTCCTCCTCCAAGAAGCCTCTAATGACCGCCGAGGGCTAGGCTGGCGAAGGGCCCAGCGCGCTGCTGCTCCCTTGTTTAATCATCAAGCCCATCAGATCATAGCCTGAGGGGGGGTTTTTCCCCTCTCTTCCTTGGTAGGATCTGTGGCACACCACAGCCTGCTTGGCAAAGGTTTGGCTGCAACAGCAGGCTCCCCAAGCGTAACAAGCGCAACACACACACACACCCCTCCAACACAGCACGTCAAATCACCTGGGCCATACGGGCGGGTTGCCTGTCACTGTGTTCGCCGTTAGCTGTTGATCGCCATCCATGCCGGCGTTGGCAAAGTAGCAGTGTGCTTGTGTGTGTGTGTGTGTGTGTGTGTGTGTGTGTGTGTGTGTGTGTGTGTGTCGGGTTCAAAAGGCACGCTGCATCGAACTCTCACACCGTCTTCTCCTCCAAGCCCCCCGTTGGCAAATATTACAACGATATGCTGCTCGCCGATGCTCATCTTGCTTGGGGGCTTTCTTGGCTGGCTCTGACTACGAACCCCCCCCCCCAGATAACTTTACTCTGTACGGTGTACCCTCCCAAGCCCCAAGACCTGCGGTGCCCAGGAGAGACGAGGGATGCCAAGACGACTCACAAAAACCTACGGCACATCCATCATCTCCCACCCCCTACAAGGCCTAGGCGGGCCAAGGCGGCTTCTGTGGCCCATTCTGGAGTCAGAGAGCTGATAGTGCCTCTTGGCAGGCAGCGTTTGAGACCTCTCGAGACTCTGGTAGAATTGGGAAATGCCAAGACTTTCGTGCCTCTGTCTCTCTCTCTCTCTCTCGTAGTTGAAATCTCTCGCCTCTGGCGCCTTTTTCGCCCAGACTTTGCCCAGGAGCTTGCTCAGCCCGCCCAGCTGCCCAGTGAAAGCGCCAGGCATCTGCCTTTTTTTTGTCCCTCTTCCTCTTGTCTTGTCCCTCATTCACTCATTCCCGCCCTCTCTTTTGCTTTCTGTTTCTCATTCTCTCATCTGTTATTTTTAAGTTTTTATCTCGTTTTTTTCTTCTCCGTCGTATTGGGAGGGCGGAATGACATGGTCAGGCGCAGTCGGATATCCTTGCTTGGCGATTCCTGGGCTTCTCTCACCAAAGCAGTCTATCGCCTAAAAGGTCGCTGAATTCGCGCTCGGAAACGTATAGGATTTTGCTACCTTGATCCCATCCATCTCGTCCCATACATACATACAATACATACACACACGAACACACCCCGGCCGGTTGAGTTTACTCTCCCTGGACGGTTCTTGATAAACCCCCGGGACACCCTCCACCCCCATACTCGCCCTGGTACCTGAATCTCCATCAACGACCTGCGACTAGTGTTGGCTTTTGTGTGGGGAATCTCCATTACCATTTCTTAAATAACCATCGCCGTAGACCCTCAAAACCGCATCGAAAAGGGTCGAGAAGAAAGGGGGAAAGGAGACAAGGGAAAAAAAAAAAGGACGAACAAACTAGCACGGGAATAAACGGAACGGAAGGCCATACACGCACACACGCACCCGATCACTCACAGCCGCTGACGCCGCCATGTCCCTCCACAACGGCGCATACAGCCATCCGGGCTACTCGGCGCCGCCCTACAGCCAGGGATATCACCACCCGCCCGGGGGCCAGATGTACGGCAACGGCCACGGCAACACGCAGGTCTACTACACGCCCTCCGGCCACGACGCCGCGCCGCAGCAGCACTGGTACGGCCAGCCCGGCCGATGCCGGCCCCCCGGCGGCGGCCACGGCCCCTGCTCGCCCGATGCGGACCGCTTCAACAGGAAGCGGCGGCGGTGCACCTACATGTACTACGTCCTGCGGCAGATGGCCATCTTCGTGCCCGTTGTCGTGCTCTTCCTCAACATCAACATCTACGTCTCGAGGCGGGGCAAGTACCTCAACGACTCGACGAGCCCGGCGGACCCCATCTTCTACTCGCTGTGGCTGACCGTCCCTATTGTGAGTTGTCGCCGGTAGCCCGAGTCCAAGGTCGTGGGTGATGCAGTTACTGACGCCTCTTTTGTTTGCAGTCCTGTCTGGTATTAATATGGTCCGCCATCGCCGTGATTTGCCGCAAGAGGGTGCCGTATCGCGGGGGCATACCGAAGCACTTCCACTTCGGCATGGAGCTGTGCTTCTCGCTGGGGACGACCATCTGCTGGATCCTCCTCGTCATCCAGATCGAGTCCAAGAAGTCCAACGGCTACTACTCGTATCCGTATATCCAGTACGAGGCCGCGCTGGCCTTCCTGCTCGGTGTCATCATGTGAGTTCTCGCCTTTCGTGTCCTCGCGCCTTCTCTTTCAGGGGACATGTTGTACTGATGGTTCCTTTTCCCCTGTCTCGCAGGCTATCCGAGTTTGGACTCCTCGCGCGTGCCTGGTTTGAGTTCACCAATGACAAAACGCGGCACGAGACCGAGCCAATGGTTCAGGTCTAGTCCCATCGGACGGCGCATTCCGAGGGCGGAGTTGTACGAATAAAAAACACACACACACACACACACACACACACACTGAGAGTTTTAACGGTCTTATCGGCACGGCGTTTGACAAGGTTTGGGGTTCGGGGGGGGCCCGCGGTTCTGGCCATGCGGCCCGGGGTGGGAAGCGACCCTCCCTATTGGTTTGACGAAGAAGAGAAAAACAGACGCATGAGATACCCATGAGCGAAAGATACCATTAATCAAGAAGCAATTAATTACCCACTGACACTTCGGCTCCGTGTGCTGCCTTCTCTGATACCTAGCTCCTTGCAGTCGTTCGTGCTTTCGGTACTCCATCGCCGACGGCGGGAGCAGCGCGGCGGCGAAGACGATGACCCCGAGCAGCCCCGATACGGCGAAGATGCCAAGGTTCCCGATCTTCCGGAACGCCGTGTAGGGCTCAAGGGCGAGGCCCATGTCGAATAAGGTTGCGGCCGTAGCGACGAAGACGCAGCTGGCCTCAGTGGCCTGTCTGCCTTTGCAGACCCAGGGCATCAGCCTGGAGGGACAGGGTTGGGGTCAGTCGTGTCTTGCAGGATCCGGCCGTGGTGCGATAGACACGATGCAATGCCTCGGGACTCGGTCAGGACAGGAAAGGACCTCGTAGTAATTGGTGACGAAAGTCATTATTGTTTACTTTTTTGAAATAATAATATTGGTAATATGAAGTAAATAATGATCCATCAAGCCTATGACAAGGGTCTCTGCAGTCGCGTATCGAGTGAGGCCGTAATCGGCGGTACGGTCGCATGCCGAAGTGTATCCCGTAGAACACGCGCGCCGAGGAGTTGCGTAAAGCATCGCCGCAGAGGTCGTAGTCACGGATGGAGTTCAAGGGATAGAGGCAAGCGGCGTTCTACAATACTTATCGACGCTCCCGAGTGAAGACGTAGGGATGATGGCGAGACTTGCTAAGGCAGACAATGGGGAGGGGGGCCGGAAGATTGTATACGGCACGTTTATATCAACCTACCACCGCCCCGGGGCTGTCATAAGACCCATCTCGTTCGGGACGTCCCTCCTGCAGCAGAGCGGCACAGTCGGCCGTGATGTTCTCCGCGTGGATTGAGTACATGGGGTTAGTTCCATTCAAGGGTGCGGCAAAGTGATTACAGGTCATAGGCTGGAAGCACGTAGACAGATGTATGAGTGCCATTGACGTGTGAGAACGAGCCAGCGAGGGTGAGTGATGAGAGTGAGGTATGAGATGTTGAGGCAACGACTGAGAGCGGAGAGTGAGTGAGATTAAGAGTGAGATTGAGAGTGAAAGCGAGTATGAGTGAGAGAGTGAGTGAGTGAGTGTAAGAATAAGGTACGAGTGGGGTCAGATTACCTAATCTCGGTGAGCTTTACACCTTGAGCTTCGGTGTGGACTCGTCCTTCACCGACAGCGGGGCGATCGTCGGGCGACTCATCGGGCAAAGCCGCTAACGATTTGGACGCCAAGCGGGCCGTGTGGATCCTCCATCTAGACTTTAATTGGCACATTTGTAATTTATGTGGGTCTCAGTTCGCTCATGGGACGTCTCAGGCGCGTCACACCTCGTCAATAGCGCCGAAAAGAGGCAGAAAAAGAGAAGGAGCACCAGGGCAGGCAAAGGCAAAGAGCAAAGGCAAGTGGGGACGGCAGGCGTCGCCCGCGACTTCCGACCGGGTCGAAGTTGTCGTGCCAGCAGGGAAAGAACGAGAGAGAAGGAAGGAAGGAAGGAAGGAAGGGAGGAAAAGAGACAAGGAGGCAGGAACGGGGCGGCCCTCGGGGAGAGGAAGGGACGAAGGGCAAAGAGAGAGTCTCAAGAGGCAACGAGTCAACGCGCTCAGGGTGAGTCGGGAATGTCTTCCTAAAACCTCCATGTTTTGATGGGTTGATTTGATTGATTGATTGACTGGATGACTGAACCCTCACACAACAAACAACCCCGGACAATGCCTAACGATCTAATCTACCGACCGACCAACCCATCCACCCCATCCATCTATCCATCCATTCGTCCAACCAAGACGACGTAAGACCGGCGAAAGGTAACGTCGCAGCTAGCCAGCCTTTCTCGCCCTGGCCGCCGATTTCGCCATTTTCTGGTTTTTCCCCCCCAACCACAACTTTGGGAAGAAAAGGGAGGGAGACCGAGAGACAGGAACAGGGAAACGGACGACTGAGGAAGAAAAAGAAAGGCAAAAAAACGGCCCCGAAAGGCGTGAGGAGAAGAAACCAAACCCCCCCCCCCCCAAAGAAAACCACCCCATGGGAGATCACCATGTCCTCAACGAGGGCAATTAAGAAGAGCGCCTTCTCATGCGAACCATGTCGCCGACGCAAGGTATGTGTCTATCTTCCTTTTCTTTTCTTTTTTTCGTTTTGTGTCCTTTTTTTTCTTGTTGTCTCTCTTTCCAACGCCCCCTCCCTTCGCGTGCGCCTAAATTCCTGCGCCTTTCCCCCGCGGCCGTGCCACCAAAGTATGACGTTCCGCCCCCCCTTGTACCACCCGGCACCGCCGACAGCTTCCGTAGCGGGCGTTCTTGGTTTGATGATTCTACCTGACGCGTCTTCGGACCCGGAAGGTTTACGGGAGCGGACATCATATCCGGTGGTGAAGGAGCGGGAGCGGGAGCGGGGGGGGGGGGGGGGGGGGGACGGGTTGACGGCTCCCGGTACCTAGGGCATCCGGGTTTGGGACCCGGACCGACCGACGACAGATGGACGGACGGAAGGACTGACTTAATACTCTGCAGGTAAAATGCGGCGGAGAGCAGCCGACGTGCAATCGCTGTGCCGCCCGCGCTGATGAATGCGTCTACAAGCTGTGAGTCCTATCCCGTTCCATCTCGCCCGTAGTCCGTGTCTCACAGGACGACGCTAACTGTCGACTAAAAAGCAACCCGACCCTGTCGTACACGTCACGCTTGGAGCACCGTGTCAAGGAGCTCGAGGCCCAGCTGGCCGCCGTGAGGGCTCACGCCCCGGGCCCCTCCGAGCCGTCGCGGACCTCGTCGCCCAGCGTCGGCCCGTCGGCTGGCCAGTCGCCCATGACGGACCCGCATCACTTCGAATCGCAGGACGAAGAGTCCGTCAACGAGAGCTTCAAGGGCCTCAAGGTCGATGACAAGGGCGCCATCACCTACCACGGCGCCACGAGCTTCTTCAACCTGCCCGGCGACCGGCCCTCGGGCTCGCGGGACCAGCAGTCGACGTCAGACCACGCCATGCAGAGGCGTGAGAGGCTGGTCGCAAACGCCTGGCAGCAGCGAGCCCTCGAGAACATGTCCGATATCCCAGTACGCCCTCCCTCCTCTCTCCCTACATGCCTACCTACCTACCTACCTACTACTGTCCAATGCCAGAGTGAACCTCTTCGTAAGCTGACGCCCGCCCTCCGCCAGGAACCTTTCCAATACTTGTTGAACGTCCACTGGTGCTGGATTCAGCCCTTGTTCAACTTCATCTACAGACCCGCATTCACCCGTGAGCTCTCACCGGCCCCTTCCCGCCGACGGCTTCTTCTCTTTTTTGGTCCATGGCTAACCCATACATACCTTACCTTTGCCCAGGCGACATGCAGACATTGGGACCCTATTACTCTCACACCCTTATGAACGCGGTATTATCACACTCCATCCGCTGGGGGCGCAGCGACCCTGCAACCAAGGACAAGTTGGAAGAGTTCTACGACGGCGGCGCCCTCTTTGGCAAGCACGCCCGCAGCATGGTCTTTGAGGAGCTCAGCAAGGGCATCTGCTCCATCCCCACCGTCCAGACCCTGCTGCTGCTCAGCGCCCAGGAGTGCAGCGTCGGCAACAGCGCCCAGGCCTGGACCTACAGCGGTCTCGCCTTCCGCATCATCGACCATCTCGGCATCTGCGTCGACGGTCAGAGGTACCCCGGCTCGGTGCAGCTGACGGACGAGGACGTTGAGATCCGCCACCGCCTCTTCTGGAGCTGCTACTTCTGGGACAAAATGATCAGTCTCTACCTCGGACGCTCGCCGTCGCTCCAGCAGACGTCCGTGTCGCCGCCCCAGATCATGTGTAGGTCTCCTCCCCCATACGTTGCGGCCGTTGACCCAATCCCTCTCCGAGACTAACGACGTGCGTCTCTAGTCGACGACTCGTCCGAGAACGAATCATGGACGCCCTTCGGCGTCGTCCCCGAGGGCGGCTGGAAGTACCCGCCCGCGGCGGCCCATTCCACCTCCTGCTTCATGCAGATGTGCCGGCTCTCCACCGTCTTCAACGAGATCCTCGTCCACATGTACGACCCCGTCCGCCCTAACAGCCAGGCCGAGATGCAAGACTGCCTCGCCAAGCAAGAGGTGGCTCTGCGGCAGTGGTGGGACGAGCTGCCGCCTTTCCTCAAGATCGAGGCCACGGCCCTTCCCGCGCTGGCGCCCCCCTCCCACATCATTACACTGAAGTAAGCAACCCCCTCCTCGTCCCTTTCTTTTTTTTTTCTTTTTTTTTTCCGGTCAACATGTGCCCCCCAAGCTGACTCTAGGTCAGCGTCCTCTACCGCACGTTCAAGATCCTCCTCTACCGCCCCATGCTCTCTCGGCATAGCGGAGACAGCGCCGAGAACCTGCAGCCGGTACAGAGGTACCTGGGCGAGTGCGTGACGTCCGCGACAGGCATCATAGCCATCTTCGACCTGTTCTGCCGCTCTTTCGGCATCAGCCACTGCGTCTTGTCCCTCTCTTACAGCGTGTACATTGCCGCTTCCATCTTCCTGCTTCAGGTCCAATCCAACGTCGAGGACGCCCAGGCGTTACGCCGGCTAGAGTACTGCGTCCGCATCCTCGCATCCGTCAAGCGCATCAACCCAGGTGAGTCAATGTCATCCATCGCCTACTGTTGCTGTGCCGCCGTTGCTCCCGTCAAGCCTTTGCCGATTGAACCCCGACTGACGCCTTGCAGTCATCAGCAGCGCCCTGAACCTCATCACCCGTGAGCTCGTCCGCCTGGGCATCAACATCGGCGCCCTCGGGCTACCAAAGACAGCCCCGACACCGCCCATGGCTACGTACGGCATCCCGCAGCCCCGGCCAGTCGACGCGCCGTCCGCGTCCGCCCCGCTCGGCCCCGAGGCCACCAGCTCACCCGAGCAGCAGCTCTACAACTTCCCCTTCGTCGACACCCTCGGGCCCGAGGCCTTCGCCATGGACCCGCAGGTCGTGCAGACCATGTCGTCGATAGAGCCGTTGAGCGTCCGGGTCGGCGCGATAGATTATTAGCGAAGCGCGACGTACTCTCTCCCACGTCGGCTCTGGAGGCGCTGTAGACGGCCGACGTCGCGACCAGTCTGAGCCGACGTGAACAAATGCACCAAGACCTGACCATTGAATGTGAATGTCAAGCTGCTTGTCATCGGACAGACCGCCGGCCTCGCTGACGTCCCATTCAGGATGCCGGCACGCCATCCACGCGTTGACGCCCTGCATCCTGGTCTCGATGTTATCGGACGGCGTCAACCACATACCTAGACGGCGCTCCCGTCAGCGTACACTTTCGAGACCTTCACCCCGACTCGTCGGTCGTCGCCAAACCGTGAACAGGCCGTTGATCCCGCTCAAGACAAGCATGCTCCCGACGTTCAAGTCGAGCGCGGGTCACCACTTCAAGACCCAGTGCCGGAGCGTTGTCGCAAACATGGTCAAGCGTACGGTGCTGTCAGCGCTCTCCTTGCACAACACGCGCGGTTGGTAGGAGAAAGCATGAGCAGGGGAACGCAGCATCATGGATCATGTCAGTCTCGACCGCCTTGCTAGGTGTGAAGTCGGCGACGGGCCCCGCCACGCCGGCGAGCGTATCGAGCCTCAGGCGGGTCGTTCACGAACGACGACGAACCGGGTGCTGGACTATGCGGCGTTGGGTGCCAGAGCGGCTGACCGCGTCGCAGGGGACGGAGAGGGAGGTCGGGCGGACGAGAGAGCGTTGCCGTCGTCGTCGTCGTCGTCGTCGTCGCCGCCGCATCATCAAACCACTAAAGGTGTAGCTGGCGAAGGGTCTTGGTGAACTCGACCAGGTGTACTGGAGTATCTGGATTTTATTAGAAAATACGATACGTATTGCACTGCTGTTTTGTGAAAGAGTCAGGTGGCACCACGAGCCGACTCCCCCTCACCACACCCACTCGTAGCACGTGGACATGAAGCAGATCAGTCCAAGTATAGAGGCAGGACATGGATGGTGAGACCCAGACTGATGGCGACGGGGGAGGTCCTGAAACCCCCGGGAGAGGATGCTGCTCTGTTTCATTCAGTGTTGTTTTTGTGTCGTGTCCCTATGCATGGGCTGTGCGACGTTGGGGGTTCAACCTCGGCGTTTGTCGGCATTTCTTGCTCGGAGTGGAGACGAGAAGACCAGTCAGTGGCAGGACGAAGGGAGAGAGAGAGAGGCCCGATATCTCCCCATCCGCTAGGCCGAGGCGGTTTTGAGGGACGTGATATACACAACTCACGGCTTGCCCTGTTGCGGAGTTGCGTTGTCGTACACGTTATACCGGTCGTACCCGTCATACCGGTGGGATGCCTCTACTCGGGCATGTTCCGATCCCCTTGGGAGAGGAGGGGGGACAGGATGCTCCGGAGGGACCGCAGTAGCCGCAGTTGGTGCGAATTGGGAGGGGATCGGGAAAGAGAGAATGAGACAGGAAAGAAAGAGAGAGGGAGGGTTGCAGGGCAGTTAGTGTGCGATGGGCGGCGCGGTGCGTGGTCCGCGGAAGGGGGAGTGTGAGGTTCTGCGGGCGTGTGTGATATCACGCGGGCACGCACACACACACACACACACACACACACACACACACACCGTCTTCTCCGCATTCGGCGGCATTCCGAGTCGGTTCGCGGCTTCGGTCAACTTCCGATGTGGACGAGTGTGTGCGTGTTGTGTGTCTGAGAGAGAGAGAGAGAGAGAGAGAGAGAGAGAGAGAGAGAGAGAGAGAGAGAGAGAGAGAGAGGTCCCAAGACTAGGCGAGACTCGCGAATGGAGGAGGGGGGGGTTGACGAGTCTGGACGTTTGTTGGAAAACGTGGGGAGGAAGGGCAATGGAGACTAGCGCATCCGATGCGTCCGGGGGATTACATGTGCCCTGGACGGCATGGCGATGCCAAGAGGGCACTGGCGGCGGGAGGGTGTGGATAATAGATCGCGGGAGAGGGATGGGGATGGGTATAATCATCAGCCTACTACGTAGGATACCAAAGAGCTGCGGCTGTCCGTATCGGGAAGACTGTGCCGGTAGGGGGTGGTTGCTGAGTGATTTCTTCTTCTTGTTTCTTCGTTTCTTAATTCCTCACGCGGAGTGTTTGTAGATGACGGCGGATCCGATGCCGACGGCGCCATCGGATGGGCCTTTCGACACCTTTTGTTTTAGGGAGGGGGTGAGGGAGGGAGCCACGTCTACCAAGAAGCCGTTTTTTCTCTCGGGGTCCCGGTCTCGTCATAGCCCTCGTCTTGGTCCTGAGTCGGGAAAAGGGGAGGAAAATGGTGCCGGGCAGGGGGGAAGATTTGTGGGAAAAGGGCCTAGCGAAATGAAGAATCTGTAGGAGAGAAGTTTGGAGAGGAATATGGTGACGCTCGCTGTTAGTCTCGCTACAATGGAGGAGAAACATGAGGAACGGAGATGAAGATAAAAAAAACCCCTCTGCAGAGGAGAACCCTCCGATAGAACCAGACCCATGATGTGAAAACGGACAGGATGGATGGATGGATGGATCGCCAGTGGGCCTTGAACCGACGCCCGTCGGCGGGTAAACGCTGCCCCTCCTCCCTCCCACCTCGTCCTCCTCCGAGGCTGGGGAAGTCGTCCGTGGACGTGAGTGGCTGACGGTGACCCCCGGTTCGCCGGGACACCGGGGGATGGCCGAGGTACGGTTAGCTTTTCCCTCTCTTTTTTCTTTTTTCTTTTTCTGCTCGATTTTTGCGGACGTGGGCCGAGGCGGACAACTCGAGGGATTCACGCGGGCATAAGAGGTTTTTTGCATGTACACCACCCAGGACATTGCGATCCGAAGGGCGGGGCGCTATGCAAGTTGGCCGAGGACGAGAATGATGTAGATGGCCGTGATGCTGCGGATTCGGGGTGTCTGGATGCGATTTGGAAGACGAAAACGATGCCATAGACTCGTTGGAGAAGAATATATAGAACGATGTGTTATCGCTTTACATAAGCGATTTATACGTATCCTGCATGGCCCTTTTAGCTCAGTGGTAGAGCGTCGCACTCGTACTGTTGCACACTATGCGAAGGTCCACGGTTCAATCCCGTGAGGGGGCATTGCTTTTGCAGGTGGCAGACACATGTTTCCCTTTTGTTAACTACATCTCCCTACATAGTTATAGACATAGATAAATAAGGCACTATAAGTTGTTTTTCTACTTTTTCTTAGTATTTCTTAAGTACCTACCTACCTAATAGGAGATTTCTAATATTTTACTATATTTATTTATCTAGCTTACTTACCTACCTACTACCTAGGTAAAACTAGTTATTAAGCGTGCTAATGTCTACGACCTGTACTGGCACGCTTGCCATATGATTATTCTTATATTTATATATACTTATACCTGTCCATCCATGCACATACATACATACTCTAGACATGTATATTCTCCATGTCAGTGGCGGCCTCGCATACTTTATCCCGTATAACCCGGGCAAATCCCACCTCGTTCAGAGGGCGCTTGCGGAATCCTCATGTTCCAATACTTGTTCTGAACGAGAGGCGACCAGAAACTCTGCGTGCATGGGTATAACATGCATAGTCACACTCGCTGGCCAGCAGCCCAAGTCTCGTCCCACTTGTCGGGCATGTTCTGTCCGGCTCCAGTATCACACACGCAGTCCTGCGACTTGAATCCCCCCCCCGCCATCAAGTAAGTCCTCGATAATGCGCCCACCCAGTGACCAGTGAAACCCCGAACGGTCGCAATATTAGCGTCCGGACGGTGTCTTGTGTAACCGGTCACCGCCTCTAGCGTCTCAGTGGCCCCGCCCTTAACCGAGGCGCAGCATCTCGACATTGAAGACCACCTTGCTCGCCCGGCCCCTGGCCCCACGTGCAGACCCGGTCTATTGCAGATGGATGCTGGCAATGCGCCCGCTGTAGACCCGGGGTACGGCACGTTCGTATCTCGGGTCACGAGGACGTGGTCTGCGTTATCACGCGTGCGTGCGTGGGATGTGAGGGCGGTAGGCAACCTGCAAAGCAACGGGGCGCCGGTGAGAGACGCACGCATTCTGCAACCTGGTCTGCGGAGAATCGGCAGAATGGTTGTGTGGTGAGATGCGACTCAAGCCGACATCTGGCTTGCGAAAATCAACCGCCAAGGACTGAGAGCATCACCATGAGGCAGCCAACCCTTCACGAGTGATGAGCGGCTTCTTGCGCCTAGAGGCCGGAAGTGAGCGGGGGAGGGACGGGCGTTCTCTCTCTCCTTGGCAAACATGTCCGGCGCCGGGTCGAAATTCGGGGGTTTGCTTACCTACTACGGACAAGTACCGTTCTGTCAAAGTCCCTATGGGAACTTTGTGTGGGTGAGGGGGGGATTGGCCTCGCGCGTGCGGGATATTGCCTGCTGCCGAAGTGCTTGAGTCGTCTAAAGTAGCCGGCCCCATCCATATCCATATACTCTGGCTGTGAATGAGAGGAGCCCGGCGTTATCAAACTTGGCAGTGCGGAAAGTCTGCCCGGCCCTTTGTCGGTTTTTTGTTTTTGTTTTCTATTTCTTAGTGTGACACGTAGACCCGGACGTCATCTGTGACCAGACGGGCCTCGAAAGTCTTTATCCATGTGCATGGCGAGGCCGTTGTCGACGGAGCACCACCTCGGAGCGTCGAACAACACCGCGCCGAGTCATCCATCTCTCGAGAGAGGTCCGCAAAATACATGCGGTCGATCCAGTCGTCGGCGAGTGCAAGCAGATTTGTGTTTCCACGCCAAGTCTGATAGGGTATCTATCATATAGCTATGACCGACTCTCTACAGTTGCGTGGCGGGCGCTCAACATGATCGGCAACTCAAAGCTTGTCTGGGTAGCCGAGATGACCAAACGCCGACCTATCAAACCTCTGGCATCACGACTCGACAAACGTAAAGCTTGCAGTGGGTGATGGACGAGGGGGCCATGCTGCCGTAGAACCGACGCGCGCCAAAGCCTCCATGGAGACTATAAGCTGCTGTACCTACAAACTCAACAGACATCTGCCCATGTACCCTGGTTGGATGTAAAAGAACCATCACCTTTCACAACAGACCGCATGCACAGAAAGATGCCGGTCGCGTCACGAAGCCGTCTATTGTAGCACCAATCGTGCCCAAGTTCATCGCGTCACGGAGTCACGGGCATGGGATCGCCATCAATGCCCGGCCCGAGACGCATGCGTACCCAAAGCTTTTCTTCGTCTCTTCTTTTTTTTTCGTTTTTCCCGCTCCTCCCGTTCGGCTTCTGACCGAGAACCAAAAGAGCTTGGGCCAATGGCTGATGTGCGCGACAACCGCTCCGTTCGGCTTGGGATTCCCGGTCCAAGACCGAGATGGGTGCGGTGCCATAAATAAACCAACGCCGGCTCGGGTCCACAGTGGCACGCGTATTTGCAAGACTTTGCTGATACCCAGATCGACAGAGCTTTTTTTCGGGATGCTTCCCCCCCCCGCCGAATGGGAGGGTGGCCATGTCACTTGGGAAATTTCAAGACGGGTTATGTTTTGCTCATAGATTTCCATACTGTGGTTCGGTATTATCATGTAACGAGGGGGGGGGGGGGGGGGGCCGCCCCTGGCTACGTATCTCAATTATAGTCATAAGTCGTCACGCTGAAAAGAAGAAAAGAAAAAGAAAAAATGACAGGACCGACCATGTCGGAAGACACGCGTCATGCTCCGCCACGGGTATTCCACAGCGCCTCGGCGTTGCCCCTGAAGAGCCTGTCGACCAGGACGTCGTCGTTGCCGCACCACCCGAGGACCGTCTCGATCCAGGGCCGGATGTCGAGGCCCTCGAACCTCGTGTGCGGCCAGTCCGTCGCGAAGACGACGCGATCCCCGCCGCGCAGGCGCAGGACCTCGCGCGCCATGGGCTCCAGGTCGGCGTGGTCGGCCCTCGAGCTCAGCCGGTAGGGCGCCGACAGCTTGACGTAGGTGCTGCCGGCCTGCAGCAGCCTCGCCAGGGACGCGAAGCCCCTCATGTCGTAGGGGTCGCCGCCCGACGCCGCCATGTCCCCGGCCGAGGGGTGGCCGAGGTGGTCGACGCAGACGCGGACGCCGCCGAGCGTCGGCACGACGGGCTCCAGCAGCTCCATCATGGCCATGGGCACGTACAGCTGGATCACCCAGTCCAGGGGCCGGCAGTCGTCGGCGTACCGGCGCAGCAGCTCGCCGAGCTCCGCGGCGTCGAGCGACCGGCCGACCGACGACAGGTTGATGCGGACGCCCCGCACGCCGAGCCTGTGCCACTCCCTGCGGGTACTCTCGGGCACGGTGCCGGGCTCGAAGGCCACGACCGCCCGGCCGCGGCGGGGGCCGAGGGCGCGCAGGGCGTCGAGGAGGCAGGCGTTGTCGTTGCCGTAGATGGACGGCTGCACGAGCACCATGTTGTCGATGCCGACCGAGGCCTCGAACGAGAGGGCCTGGTCGAGCCGGTGCGTCTTGGGGCAGTAGATGGCCTCCTTGGCCAGCGGGTACGCGGTGGGGTTGACGACGTGCATGTGCGAGTCCCACGCGCCGCGCGGGATCCGCTCCGGTAGCGTCAGCCTTCGCCGCGTGGCGGCAGCGGAGGTGGTGGACACCCTGGGTACGAGCTTCTCGTCGTGCCTGGTCGACGAGGGGGCGATGAGGGGATGGATGAGCGCCATGGCGGCGGCCTTGAGGTGATGGAGCAGGGGGGGGAGGAGGGACGGATGCGCCTGGAGCATGCGCCGCCTCTCGGGGAGCGTTTCGAGGGCGACGACGGCCTTGTGAGTGAGGCCTGAAAAGGATCTGGCGGTAGAAAAGAGGTCAAGGCCGCGGACCTGTCGTCGTTGTCGTTCTTGTTGGTGCCGTCGATGTTCCGGTCGCGGGGTGATGGTGGTGAGCCGCCTGGACGAGAGGCATGGGAGGGATGAGTTCTTCTCCTCGAGAGGACAGACTGGCGTCAGGACCGGTGCCGTGAGGGTTCTGTTATACGCAACGCCGGGCAGTAGCAGCAGCAGTAGCAGAGGTGTGCGATGGTTCGGCGGCGGCCGTGGTGGTGGTGGTGATCCGCCTGTACATATAGAAGCCGGCCCATTGCGCTCGACGAGAATCCGCCAAATGCCTGGTTCATTGTGTGGATCATGGCGGTGCAGCATACTCGAGAGGGCCAGGTCCAGATCCGCCTGCATTCTATCTCCAGCGGGCGATGCAAGAAGTAGGAGCTGCAGGAGGAGTAGTAGTATCAGGATCAGTAGCGGGAGGAGGAGCAGGAAGTGGAGGAGATGGAGATGCAGGGCCGAGTCGGGGCAGAGTTCAACGTCAGGGTTTGGGGTCCGCGTGCTCGGAGGATGGCCGACCTAGGTGTACTGCGTGTATGGATAGTCGGCGGTGGCTGTATGTCGAGGTCAGTTGCGGTGGCGATGCGCGGTTTACACAACCAACGCTGCACGCATACATACATACTCGTACATGCCATTGACCATTCCCAGCAACACACCTCCGGGGAACTTGGTATGGAACCTGCCCGACGGCGGCAGGCCGGGTTGGAGTGGAGAGGGAGGCCGCGACGGCGTCCCCGGGTTTGCTTCAGTCCCCCTCTCCGCTGCTGCTAACCGCGAGTCAGGGGCCCGTGCGAGAAAGGGACCCCTTCGGAAGTTGACCGAGAGGACGACTAAGAGCGTATGCAGTGAGAGAGAGATGAGACTGATGAGCGAGAGAGTGAGTGAGTGGTCCTGTTGTGAGTAGGCACATTGTCCCCGGAGAGACTACGGCCGGAATCGATCCGGGAATATCCGTATAGCACGATGCTACCATGCCCCATAAGGCCTACCCTCCTGCATGCAGTCTTTGCGCTGAAGAATACTTGTTTGCCTGTCTGTCACGGCCAACCCCCGGCGCGGCACTTGATGACATGACCTGGGCTGGATGAACGGAACTCCCGAGTGAACGTGGAGATGGGGGGATGCTCATCTTACTAAGAAGCTTCCAGGGATGGATGAGGCCTCGTCTGATTTTCCCCCTTCACCCACGCACACCCAAGAAAACAAGCTGCTGCTCTCTCCTCTCCTCTCCTCTCCTGTTCGGTCAACGTCCGATGTTTTCCTCTCTCCTCTGAACCCATCCCATTCCGTCCCCCCACACTTCTCTCTGCACGAGATCCTCCTCCCGCGCCATCGAACCACCGAACGAAATCGCGGGGTTGAACAGAACGAGGGCCCAATCTGCATCCCATCTTGTATTGTACCCCGTGGAGAAGAACCGCGCCGCTCACACCTTTCCCCTCCCTCCCCGTGGACCTGGAAGACGTTCTCCGTCGTCCTGGAAGAGGGAGTACGACGCAAGATAGAGAGAGAGAGAGAGAGAGGGTGTGAAGAGGATTGACTGGCAGAACAACGGGGAAAACGGAACAAGATAAAAAAAAGCTCGGCGCCGGCGGCTTGTGTTCAGGGGTAGTGCTTGTTAGAGATTGCCTGTCACGCAAGATAGGGGCTGCCAAAGGACTGGGGAAACAGAAAAAGAAAACAAACTCTAAAAACTTTTTATTCCCTCTCTTCCCGAGTTTCCCAGCCCGCGCCCGCAGAACGCGCGACTCAAGGCGCCGCCGACGAAGACCGAACACGGAAGAAGAAGAGCCGTTTCTCGTCCACGACGGCCGTAACGCCGAAAAAAACCGCGGAAAATGGTCCAGCTCAACATCAATCCCTATTATCTACTGACAATACTCGTTATCTCGTGCGGGTCTATTCCCAAGGGTAAGACAAGATAGTCTCTCTCTCTCTCTCTCTCTCTCTCCCTCTCTCTCTCCCTCTCTCTGCTCCACCCGCGCAAGCTGCGGTTCACTGACTAGCTTTCCCGCAGGCTACGATGAAGGCGGCTTCAGCGCGGCGACGGGCCTACCCTCGTTCAAGAACGACTTCGGCCTCGTCGCCAGCGCGTGGAAGGGCGACGAGTCCGGCCTGGCCGACCGCAAGGCCAACATCTCGTCCTTCGGTGTCCTCGGCGCCGCTTTCGGTTCCCTGATCGCCCTCGCCGTCAACGACAGGCTCGGCCGGCTGCGGTCCTGGCAGCTGCTCGTCGCCGTGTGGATTACCGGCACCCTGATGCAGGTCTTCTCGTCCGGCATCCTCGGCCTCATGCTCTTCGCCCGCATCTGGGGCGGCATCGGCGCCGGCGGCCTTACCGTCGTCGCCCCTCTGTACCTGTCCGAGATCGCGCCGGCCAAGTCTCGCGGCATGGTCGTCAGCATCTACATGGTCGTCCTGCTGTCGATCCTGACCATCGGTGAGCTTTCCGCAGCCCCGGGAACCACAACCAACGGCACGCAACGCAAACCCCTTGCTAACCAACCGTCTACCCGTCTCCCAGGCTTTTTCGTCAACTATGCCGCCAACGCGACCCTCGCCGCGACGCGGATGCAGTACCGCCTCGTCATCGCCATCCCGCTCATCCCCACGGGCCTGGCCTTCATCGCGTCCTTCTTCCTCGACGACACCCCGCGCTGGCTCGCGTCCCAGAACCGCGGCGAAGAGGCGCTCGCCGCCCTGGCCAAGCTCCGGCACGCCGACCCGAGCGACCGCGCGCTGGCGGCCGAGTACGACGAGATCCACGAACAGATCCGCAACCGGAACCAGATCCTCGCCGAATCGTCCACCTGGTCCATTGCCAAGGATATCGCCACCATCCCCACCTACCGCACGCGATTCCTCCTCGGCGCCGTGATGCAGACCGTCGCGCAGTGGTCCGGCGGCAACGGCATCACGTACTACATCCCCGACATCTTCCAGTACGCCGGCGTCGTCGGCGACAACACCTCGCTCATCACCAGCGGCGCCTACGGCGTCGTCAAGCTCGTCTTCACCATGATCTTCACCTGGGGCCTGGTCGACGTCTTCGGCCGCCGCCGCTGCTTCATCGCCGGCCTGTTCTTGCAGTGCATCACCCACGTCTACATGGCCATCTACATGAGCGTCTGGGTGGGCGGCGGCAACAAGTCGGCGTCCGACGCCGCCATCGCCTCCGTCTTCGTCTACGCCGTCGGCTGGTCCATCGGCCTGTGCACCGTGCAGTACCTGTACGGCACCGAGATCTACCCGACTCGCATCCGCAGCGTCTGCTACGCGACCAACATGACGCTGCACTGGTTCTTCCAGTTCGCCGTCGTGCGCGTGACCCCCAACATGTTTGTCAGCCTCGACGTCTGGGGCGCCTACGTCTTCTGGGCCTGCATCTGCGCCGCCGGCCTCGTCATCCTGGGCCTCTGGGCGCCCGAGACCAAGGGCATCCCGATGGAGAGGATGGAGGAGCTGTTCAGCGGCCCGTGGTGGATGGGATGGAGAGCCGGCGTCGACCTGGAGTCGAGCGAGACCACACCCTTTGGCAAGGACGGCTCGACGAGGAATGATTCGAAAGAAGGGCATCTCGCGCAGGACCGGAAGACGGATGTGTAGTTGTAATTCTAGAATGCTGCTACGAGCATTTATTGTTGTTTTTTTATTCCCATCCAACTTGTACAAGACGAATATAGTCTTTTTAATCACCGCGTCTTTCACGAGGACACATTCAGAAGTCCGTCTGTCGCGCAGAATCCTCCGAACACCTGGGGGTGTCCTACTCACCACAAGCTTCCTTGCGTCGAGTTGGCCGCCGTCCTTGGACCTCGGAGCCGGATCGGCATGGAAAGCGGAGTATCTCGGCCGATAGACCCGCCTTTCCTCGGGGATTCAAAGCCGACACGCCGTTAGAATCGTTGATTTGACTCGTAGTAGCAAGGATCAGAACCCCTCATCAGTAAACATCGTCTCAAACGCGGGTTCTGGCCAGCATTGGTTGATTCGGCCCGACACTAGTCAGCTTATGCTCGCTACCAGAGAACATAAACACGCTTGTTTTCGTTACTTCTGTCGCCACCAGCATAGCTACTAGTCTCTTGCTCTTTATAGCGTCCAATGCCTCGTTGCCCCGTTGGCCTGTCCTAACTGACCTCGTCGATTCAAAGCAAACTATACGATGGAGAAGGGACGCGGCTCGGGGGCCCAGCCGCCGTCGTCGCCTCCGCCGCGGAGGTTCAGCAAGCCATGGTTGCTTGTCGGCGCGCTCGCTCTGATCGGACTTGGTCATATACACTCTCCCCAGCCTCAATTGGAAGCATGGCAGCGTCACGGGGGAGGCCACAGCCGCACGCATAGCTCGAAATCTGTAGCAGACTCCCCCTTCGGCCAGTTTCCTCTTCCCAAGGACCCTTTCCGCTTCATCCCTTGCACCAACGCGTCTGTTCCCCCGCCGCTCGACGACACTCACCCCGAGCAGACCTGGGTGACGCTGTTCGACCCCGACCCATCCAATTGGAGCTGGGGCAACAAGAGCGACTCTGTCGACTTGGATGACGACCCTTACGCCGGCCGAGGCATCTACCTCTGCGGCTACTTGGACGTGCCTCTTGACTATACCAACGCGTCAGAAAGCCGAATCGTCCGGCTTGCCGTTACAAAGTATCAGGTCTCCGGGTTGGCGCGCGTCGGCGAGCCCGCCGATGACGACCAGAACCCGGTGCCCGGCGCCAAGAGCAAGCGCACCATCGTCATTGAGCCCGGCGGACCGGGCAGTAGCGGAACCTCGTACGCGTGGAGGGCCGCGGAGCAGGTCACCAAGCGTTTCAGTGACAGTACCTTTGACGTCCTGGGCTGGGATCCGAGAGGAGTCAACATCACCCAACCGTCCATCTCCTGCTTCCCTTACGACGTCGACCGTGACCATTGGTCGCTCGCGACTGGGCAGTACTTGGAGGTGTCCGATGTCAAGCGCCAGCTCAACGTCGCGGATGCCATGAACGACGCGACGTTGAAGGCCTGCTGGGAGCTCCACGGGGACTTGGGTCGTTTCCTTGGCACCGGCCTCGTCGCGCGTGACATGGAGGAGATCAGGAAGGCGCTCGGCGAGGACGAATTGACAGGCTACCTCGTCAGTTATGGCACCGGCATCGGGCAGACGTATGCGAACCTGTTCCCGGACAGCGTCGGCCGCATCATCTTGGACGGAACCGAGTACGTGCGTGATCACCGTCTGCTCGGTGGTTTCGGGTGGACTGCTCTTGACAACGCCACGGACGCGTGGCACGATGGTTTCCTCGGCGAATGCATCAACGCCGGGCCGGAGCACTGCGCGCTAGCCAAGTCCGAAGACGACCAGCCGGTCGTTCTCGAGGACCTGAACATCCGGATGAGGTCGCTGATATCCTCGCTCATCGATCGTCCCGTCGTTGGATACACGAAAGCATCCGGCCCGTCCATCGTCACCTATTCGGGCCTCGTGGGCGGCCTTTACAGCTCCATGTACAACGCCGCAAGCTGGCCGGCCCTCGCCAAGATGCTGTACGAGCTGGAACAGGGCAACTCGACGCTGGCGACCGCGTTCCTCGAACGCATGTCCTGGCAGTACGACCCCACACTACTGGCCACGACCAAAAAGCGGCCTTCGTCGGATGAGCTCGGCACCTTGGTGGTCTGCGCCGACTCGTACGACGCGCCCCTACCCCCCGACGGCCTGGACTGGTGGGCGTCGCTCTGGGCTAACATGACGGCAAAGTCATGGATCTCGGGCAACTCGCGCTTCTTCAACGTCCTGCCGTGCCAGCACTTCACAAAGTACTGGCCAGAGCCCGCGGGAGTCTACAGGGGCGACCTCAACCACACCCTCAAGAACCCGGTCCTCCTCATCGCCGAGACGTACGACCCGGCGACGCCGCTGCGCAACGGCCGCAGGCTACTGGACGAGATGGGACGGAACGCGAGGCTGATTGTCCACCACGGCTACGGCCACTCGTCCAGGGACACGTCCAACTGCACCGACTCGATCGCCAAGACGTACATCCTCGAAGGGGAGCTGCCCGACGAGGCCGAGACGGCGTGCTACGCCAACGAGAAGCCGTATCTGTACGGCGTCAAGGACAAGGGCGTCAGCGTGCTGGCCGAGGGGGCCATGGATCCTATTGACGTGTGGCGTCAACACCTGCGCGAGATGGCTTTCATGAAGTGATGATCCGCTCCTTGGAGTTCGCCGCTCCACGTCTCTTGAATAAAAGAAGGTCGTTCACGCCTTTTTTTTCTTCTTTTTTTTTTTTCTTTTTTAAACGTGTGGGTTTTGTAAACGATATTATCAGATACAGAGCAGATTTCTGTAGAGTTTGTAACTGCAGCAGGTTCTGCCATAAGGACCCATGGTCAACGTTGAAAAGGAACATGTCAAACACAACCCGATGAACTGAAGATTATTTTGAGGATACGTTTAAATAAAAACAATGCAAATAAGTTGATGGATATACAGCACCTCATTCAACCTGGCAAACTGTTCTGTCGACGTTCCAAAGTGGACCTGTGACAAAAGGGTTCTCCATCGCCGCGATAATAATACAGCAACAGCGACGATTCTCAAATCCGCACGACTTGAATACAACCGTCATTGTTGTCTGCAAGCAGTTTTGGCTAACAGACTGTGAACGGCCCTGCTTGGAAGGTGCACGGCTGGAGAATTCTAGTTGGAGACTCCCATAGTCGTAGGCATGAGCCTCTCAACGCCGCTTGAAGGTTTATCCGCTCTTCCAACTCTCGTGAATACGAACGAGCGAGCTTGAAAGTTCAACCAACCCCTCTGCCGAGATCAACAGCCGGGCCGGGTGTGAGTTGCTTACCTATTCCGGAACTTGGTCTGAACTCGGAAGTTGCCGTTTCTCCGTGATGATGGCATCAATGTTTCAGCCCAACTGGCACGAGGTTATTTTTTCCCCTTTCCGAAATCGTGGTACGCATGAGCCTGGGCGATCTGATACATTATCCGATTCGGGGGCGGCGCTTCGAAGCTCCTTTTCGAGCCTCGAACCGACGCCTTGATCTTGACATCTTATCCCACGTCAGATGCGCCTCCGGCATCATGAACTATTCGTAAGCATAGGCAGAAGAACCATCCTGGGCCGCTGGATCCCGTATTCCGACGAGACGCTAGCCTGTTATGTACCTATACACTCTAGCCGAACAATGGAATAATATACCACACGCAGGAACGGGCCGCTTTCACTATAGAGCCTCGACATTCGTCCTCTCGTGCCACGTTTCCGAGACAATCAGAGGTTTTGTATCCTTCACTTCTGAAAGTGTTACTTACGCCAGCCGTTATCTTGGGATCTCAACCTCAAAAGAATGTTGCACACATCTCGGTCTCTATTCGGGAGATTGGGGCAAGCCGATCTGACATGGTGAAAGCCGGGATCTGCCACCGAACCGAAAGTGCGCTCGGGGCAGCGTTTGGCCATGTGGACAATATAAAATGTGACACTGCAATCACGATGGCGGCCAAATGGTGATTGCATGTCGATCTGTGAGCTTGATGAGAATAAAGTTCAACTGAACAAGTGAAAAGTAACTATGCTGAGATCGACAAAACTACGGCTTGAAGTATGCGCGACCTGACTCGACAAGCTCATGGCCGGCTAGAGCTGTAATAGGCCAGCCATTATTACTGCAGAGCCAGGGACGAAATGAGAAATCGAATCCCTGTTACTATAGCGCGGCCATCAATCGTGCAAAATAAAGTAAAATCTCCGAGAGAAACTTCCTGATTACTACAATGCTACGGTCTACCCACACTTTCTACCTTTGTCTGGTCACAGTGGTATCCGGTTTTCCATCGTTCCGAAGGCGCTCCCATGCGATCATGGCATCGTGCACACAAAACTTTGTACGCAAACTGGTATTCAGCAGCCAATGATATTCTGCAGGCGGCCGGTACACTAGTGGATCGTAGCAAGACGTCTGTATTCTGACAGAGACTACACTATACGACGCGCCATGCTGGACGACTATCCCTGCAACCTACCGGTAACGGCCTTGTATGCCTACGATAGATATCCGTGGCCGTCATCTGGAAAGGCCGAATCAAGATTTGCAAACTCCCAAAGGTCCGACCGAGCTGGGAGCTATGACGAGAAGCCAATCGCGAGGGCAAACTTCAACAAGCGCATCCTGTTGTACGCGAGTCAGAACTTCAAGCTGATCCTTCGGACATCTCTGCATGGCGCGTTTGACTATAACTCTATTTGTTAGGCTCTCGCCGTATTCCTTCACAAATGCTTGGACGTTCAGACACGTTACACAGAGACGCCACACCTGGGGGCCACGTGCGTCTACATCAATGTATGTGCGCACCCTGGATAATAGTGCATGATGGAAGGGCGAGCTCTGATCGCTCTCGCTGAGTGGACAAACTCTTCCCGAGCAGTACCATTTCCTTGGCCGGTGCCCCCGGGCCCCCATTTCACCCCAGTTGTTAGTCACCTCTTCCGGCCAAAACTCTGGAGGGCTGGAAGAAGATTCTCACTTTCGACACGCGCGTCGGAGAAGAATTTGCCCAAGCATCGACCATTTCATAGTTGTCAAGGGCCTCGAAACACAATTGCGAGCCGCCTCCTCACCCTGTCACGCAAATACCCGCCCCAGGCCTTTGGGCCGGGCTTACACGAGTCAACGGCAGAACGCGAACGATCTTGATGAGGTCCCAACTAAGCGTTTCGCGATAGTACGCAAGACCTGGAGCAATGGACCTCCTAGGCACCTCTGTCGAGACCGTAGTGCGCCGCGCGAGCATCAACCATGTCCCCGAGCCTCGCGCGGGGAAAGTCGTCAGTATTATTGTTGCCATGATGTCGGCATGTCTAGTCGCTAGCCTTTTCGGTTAGTACTCTGGCGTTGTGAGAGTGAGTTATCGTGGACCTAAAATATGTGCTGACGCATGATGTAGTTGTACGTTGGCTGTCGGTGAGAGACTGGAGGATATTGCCCTGGACCATGTGGCGTGAGATACGCTCTGAAATCAAGCCGTTGTAGGCTATGCTGACCATTGAAGTCGTCTTGTTGATCTACTTCTTTTCGTTCGTCTTTGTCTTTGGGACGTCCATTCTTCAGTTTGGATATGGAGCCGACCTCAACTTCCATACGTGCTCCGCCGCCACCTTTTTCTGCTTGGCGGGATACGTCTCAACAAAGGTGCGCTGTATATCAATCATCAGCCTTCGATTAGTTACTGACTTTTGTGTTGCAGTTGGTACGTTGATACTAGGTGCCAGGGCCACAGTTGCCGCTAACTGACTCGTGAAGTTCATTTACCTTTTCATGGTAGAAAGAGCAGTGAGCATGTCCTTTTCTGTCAGGAAAGTCCGTAGTTGCCACTTACTTACATCAAAAGCACATCATTCGGCAAACAAGAAAGAGTCGCTTCAAGTCGAAACTTTACCTCATTAACTCACTCGGTATGCTAGGTAAGGCCGCAATCGAATTAAACCTGTTGTAACGAATGGCTAACCTCTCGAAAGGTGTATTCGTGCTGATTGTTATTATGAATTTCATCTTGTGAGCTGCAAGTTGCGCAGATTCCGAACCCCACTGACAGCTGTTGCAGCCGAATAACACATTTTGAGGATGGCATTTGTATCATTGGGATGCAAACACCAGTGATACTGCCGCTGATCTCATTCGATGCGGCCGTGAACGTAAGTCCTCCCTGAGCTCCTTAATCAAACCGAAACTAACCCGTTCGTTAGGTCTACCTCACAATTCTGTTTTTGCTGCCTCTATTGAGTAGGTCCCGCACACTATTGTTCATGTGACGATGTGGAGTACTAGGGTGGCAGGCTGATAACCGGTTTCCAGGTCTTCACTCCGTAAAATACAACTTCTGGAGGCCATGGACTCTGGACTGGAGGAATAGACGCATCCCGCGAGCCCCTCCTAACGTCAGACTGCGGAAACTCGTCATTCGTACGTTTATTGGGTCTTGTTGCACACTCCTCAGCAGTGTAACGTATGTATCTATTCAAAGCCTCGTGACTCTGTAACGCATGATTGACACACCGTACCAGAAACCTCACGGTTCTTATGACCCTCAATGGCGAAGTTGCATGGCTTTGTTTGTTGTGCTGTAACACTGATAGTAAGCACATTTGCACACTTTTAAACACTATCCGCTAACGCCTTTTAGTATCTTTCTCCGCCCTCGTAATTAATTGGATAACATCATCTGGCCAAGAGGCAACACTACGTACCCTGACACGGCCGTCACACGGCGTATCCACACTCAGCCCGGATGAAGCAGCGAGTATTCCCCTGGATCCCGATGGAAATAGCATCAGCACCACCGCAAAAAGATGGGGACAGAGGCGAACCAAAACACCAACAACGACAGGTATCTCATCAGTCGATAGACGAGAATGTGATACCGAGCAAGGCTCGGATGCAGTGGAAGACGCGCGAGAAGACACGTACGAGCCGGGTATTGAGCATTCGGAAACACAGAATCAGGAGAACCACTCTAAAAATACCCGGTGACCCTTGTATATAAAGGAAAACAGACCTTTGATCTTTATGAAGCACAAGAAATGTTGGAAGGTCGGTCTTCTCATGCATGAAACATCGCGCACGAGTGGCTGAAAGAGAGAATAGAACAGGGATGAATGGCTAACCGCGATTACAGCAGGGGACTTGAACAGCCCCGATTTCGACGCTGTTATGGTTTGTCCTTTCCCAGTACCCTCCGAGTTTGCGTTTCCATAAATCACGATACCCCAGAGCATTCGTACGTCATAATCGACTGGCTTGCAATCAGGATCGCACAAGTCTGTACTTCTGAGCGCAGTGTCAATGTGCGCCCCTTGGAGTTGACCCAAGCGTATAAGCCAAGCATTGCTTTAAGGCTTTGTCAAGGTTTCACTCCACTCTTCTTCGGCCCACTAGCTAACATCGGCCCGTGGAGTTCTCATGATCTAAATGGGTAAATAGCTAAAGTGCCGAGGACAAGGTGCACTTAACCCGTAACATGTCAATTCTTACGCGCGGCCGCTTTGTGGAAACATCGAGCTTGCATTCTCTTGTTTCCAGGTTATGGTGGTCATCACCAAAGCCTTGATGTTAAGACGAAGACGATGCGAGGAGAAACGAAGGGGTATGATAAATATAGCGTCAAACGGTAAGGATAGTGCAATAATCCTCTAGTGTCTCGATGTCGAATGCCCTTGTGAGGTAGATGGAGATGCGAGTAGTAGGGAAACGTGATAGTAAAGCTCAGAGCCCCTCTGGAGTCACTAGGGTAAGTCAAGGTTACACTAACTATGATAGGCTTCCAGCATCCAACGGCTGGCTCATCATGTCTGGTTCGCAGCACCTCCAAGGATTTCATTGACCATCAAGCGGCTGTTGCTGCTGCGCCTACCAGGACCGGATAAATCTGCCGCATACATGGGCCAAGATGAATGCTTCAATCCCCACCCACCGTTGACTCTGTACGTCGACGGTTGAGCTTCCTCGGAATCCGGGGCCCATGGTCCGTCGGACATTTTCCAGCCTACTGCCTGTTGCATTGTTTGTTCGCACAAGAGACCCCACTGAAGAAGCTTATGACCGTCCACCATTGGGCAGATTAGGTAGGCCATCATAGTTGGACACGAGTCAGACATTCTTCCGGTGTCTCTCCACAAACGGGCAGATCACAGGGCTGTGCTTGCTAACCCCAGGCGCTAACATCAATGCGAGGCTCGCCGTACTATATCCGGGACCTATCGTGACACCAATCAGGAGCTTTACGTTCTAGTACATCAGCCTTAATCGGGCTCCAATATCAAGCTAGTCGTCTAGCCGAAGTGGCGATATCAGTGCTGCTCAAGGTTTCGAAACATAGCAGTCACTCGGCTGGATTCGCCTCTGGGATTCAGATATCCGCTTTCAAACAAGAAGGTAGGTGAATCATGATGGGTCGTCTACTGCCCAGAAGAACCCTTGTGTTCAGCCGCGTCTAAGGGGAAAGCCACCTACCCCACTCGTCAAACCATCAACACCGAGTTTTGCAAGAGTCTTGGGCGTGAACAGCCTCACGTTGACTGATTTCCCCGGTCATCATGCCTTGCTAGTGCTCCGCTTCTAATCAATCTGTCGCCCGTAGCACCTGCTTGGGAACAGCCGTGGATGACGTCCAAATTTGGAGTTGACGATGACGCTTCGAGGAGACGTTGCAGTCTGTACGATGCCCCGTGCTGTAACGAGAGCTTAGAGATGGATCACAGCTCAGGGAAACGACTTGACTTGTAAGTCTGAAAAGTAGATATAAGGCGGCCGTCGATGTCCGGAATTCAAGTTCTCGATCCAATCCAATCCAATCCAAACACACATCCGCAATCACACATTATCAACTTCATCCATCTCCTACCAAACTTCTCACAACACCCTTCTCAAACCAATCTTCAATATGCGTTTCTCCGCCATCTCTCTCGTTCTCGCTTCTGCTCTCGCAGTCAATGCCGCAGTTGTCCCCGTGATGGCCAAGACCAGCGTTGGTGTTGAAAACGGGACCGGCAGTCACCTCGCTGAGCGCCAGGCTGGTGTCGCTGGCGCAATCACCTCCATCGGCAGCAGCGCCATGAGTGTCGCCACCGGCGCTGCTGTCAATCTCGTAACTGATTCGCTTCGTGCTATCGTGGACTGGACCAAGGCCCGTGAGACCTTCACCAAGCAGACCACGGACGAGATGTGGAAGAAGAACCCCGACCCCGCCAAGTTTCCCGCCGCCGTCTGCTACAACAAGGGCTACCGCCTCGCGGACCCCAATGGCGTTGATGGCAAGGCCAGCGTCACTCTTCGCTCCAACCTGCTCAAGGTCAAGTAAGTTATTCATCCATGGGGTTCGGCTCCGGCCAACCATCTCATCTGAGTGGAGTCTTCAATAAGCTTCACTCTGGGCTGGCTAGAGTTTCGGCACTCGCCATCTATGTAGAAAACAAGCTAACGCGGTTCGCAGCTATGACTGCATGTACATGACCGGCCCCAACCAGTTCTTCACTGACAGTGACGGTGGTCTCATCAACGTGAGTAAACAATGGTATTGCATCAAGTCAAAGATATCAGCCTACTAACATGTTCTGGTAACAGCTTTCCTACTCCTACGACGGCAACCGTTGTACTTTCGATCAGTCCACTGGTGACCTGACCTGCAAATAAACTTGGATTGTTCCGAGAAGAGGGCCTGTAGAGCATGTTCGGAATGAAGCTTAGTTTCCCCCGAAAAGGTCTCCAACCTCTGTACATAAGATTCTTGATGAATACCTGTCCGGAACTACTCGGTATCATATTGAGACTGGACTCAGTATGCGTACATAGCATTTGCCATAGACTGGCATTTCACTTGTCAATATAAGCCCGCTGAAACTTATCAGAAGATACTCTTTGTGCCACTGCTAGACTGATAATAGACGGCGACCTCTGAGGTGGACCATTTTGTTCTTGCTTGGTCTTGTAGGACGTTTTGAACGGCACTGGCGAATACTAGGCACTGACCAAAAAAAGAGGCCCCAGAAAACAGTACTACAGAAAGGTGAAGTAACTGCTTGGTACGTTGCAGGTCTTGAGTGTCACGTTCCGTAGATAATATCTGCATATGCAAACATCGGGGTTAGTAAATGTTCTCGTCATCCTTCAACAAGCAGGAAGACGCACATCAGCACAGACAACAACATCGCACGGATGGACCTCGACGTTGAGATCCATTTCGCGGCCCACAGCATTCCAGCTTCGCATCTGCAAGCCCCAGATATCTGCAAGAGCGTCACCTGTGCCTTTCTAAAGCATCTTGCGAAACCGTAGAATACCTATATGTTGAAAAAATTTGGGTTCTCTGCTAAAAGAGCCTTTTACTCCATGTTTTATAATGGCTGGCAATATTTGCTCGGTGTGAGGCTTCTTACGGGAGATCGACGGACACACTTAAAGAGACCACCCCCCATTTACGCCAGACCATAGTACTGTAATTTGAGTGATACTTTCTTTATTATGGATCCTCACGTGCGCCGCTGGGTTTCAGTTTGGAATGCCTCATGGGGAAAATCTCGGGCTAAACCGATATTTGTTTTTCTTTCTTTTTCGCTCCATCACCTTGTGTATGTGGCGTACAGGCCGGAACTACGCCTTTGCCATTGTACAGTCCGAGGCTAATGAATCGGAAATCAAGCAACTAGTCTTTTATTTCAACTAAATTTGGCCACTTTGAGAACGGCGGCTAGCATTAATTAATGAAAGGCCGTTAGCATAGTCCACAAGAATGAGCATGAAGCGTTGAGATTAAAACTTACACGCGACAAGAGCTATGTGTGTATGCCCGTAAATGACTGAAACATCGGAGCCAGTAAGGACAGAAGGAAGCGAGCGTATATTATACGTTCCAGACGTCTGTGGCTTAAGGCAAGGGATGAGAATTTTGCGTGGCCAGTCGCCGATTAGCATAAAGTCTCACATGCAAGGTACCGCTGACGTGCACGATGCATCACTTCAAGTTCACTACACACGTTTCGAGTCAAGCAGCAGCCACACCCGATGAGCTAGACTACATCAGAGCAGCCGTGGCGATCGCTAGAGTTGTCCGTTGTCTCAGCCCCTTTCAAATGTCGTTCCAATTTGAATGCGGCTCCTTAACCACGTAGGCCCAGAGAGTCCGGGGGACCTACAAAGTGCGTCCGTCCCGCCTCTGACTACGATGAGACACCATCCTCCCTACCTCCCAAGCCTGAAAATCCGGCCGAAGAAGAACGAACCGAGATGTCTACAAGCGAAAAACCCCGTGGTCATGACAGCGCGAATGGCGAACACCATCACCACGACATGCGCAAGCCGCATCTCAGTGTGGTGGAGGGCCACCTGGTCGCCGCGTCAGCCGAGTTCGTCGGCACCTTCTTCTTCCTATTTTTCGGCTATGGCGGCCAGCTCATGGTGGTCCTACAGGGTGCCAATTCAGCTCCGGATGGCTCGCTCAGCGCCGAGGGTGTTGTCTTCATCGCGCTGACCTACGGCTTCTCCCTCCTCGTCAATGTCTGGACGTTCTACCGCATCAGCGGCGGGCTATTCAATCCCGCAGTGAGTCAAGAATCCTAAAATCCACAGACTTGTGGAAAGCCGCTGCTTACCATGGCGTGATCCAGGTCTCCATTGGACTGTCTCTCGGCGGCCAGTTGCCTTGGATGCGGTCTCTGTTCTTGATTCCGGCACAGCTCTTGGCCTCCATGTGTGCCGGAGGACTAGTCGAAGTCATGTTTCCCGGAAAAGTTTTTCAAGCCAATTCATTGCTTGGAAACAAGACCACCGTGGCCCAGGGCCTCTTCCTCGAGATGTTCTTCACAGCCCAACTGGTTATAGTCGTGTTCATGTTGGCTGCTGAAAAGTCCCGCGACACCTTCCTCGCACCAATTGGTATCGGCCTTGCTCTCTTTATGATCATGATTCCCGGTAAGCCTTCGGCCCATGGCAAGATCCACCGGCCGGTTGGTAAGCTGATAGTTCGCCACAGGGACATTTGTCACGGGAGGATCACTCAATCCGGCCCGTAGCTTCGGATGCGCCGTGGCCGGGAGACAGTTTCCCGATTATCACTGGATTTACTGGCTCGGGCCGACATTAGGAGCTGCACTTGCCGCCGCCTACTACAGGTTCGTGAAATGGATTCACTATGAAGAGGCCAATCCGGGCCAAGACTTGCCCGTGGATCCGGAACAACTTGCGGCTGCTCAATCCTCGCAGTTGGCTGGAGGGCATGGTGGCCATGGGTTACATGGTTTACATGGTTTACATGGACTGATTCCTCACCGCCATGAAGTTTAATATCGAGCTTGTAGATGAGATAGGTTGAATAACGGTGCTTATATTAGCTTGTTTTAAAGGCATCAACTGATTCACAGGTCTCCACAACGGAGTTTAACAATGGATAATGATATGGAGATTTAGTAATAGTAATAGCGCCATGAGAAGACATAATTGCTTGCCACGTAATGATGGATATTGCTTATGAGTCGTCAACAATAGTTGTGGACTGTCGCTATCTATGACTGTCTACAATTTTGCCACAAGGCTATTCTTGGACAGTTTTTCCGCAACATCGTGTGCGCCACCACCTTTGCTGAACATCTCCCTCAGGTCCTTGACTAGAATCTCGGGTCTCTCGTGCGCGGCGAAGTGGCCACCGTCCCCATGCGAAACCGCGAAGACAACGGGACCAAGCGTCTTGGCATGGCTCATGGGCGGTACAAACAAGTCCATGGGGAAGATGGACACTCCGAGCTTCACGCGTGGAATCCACTTCATTTGTTCCGTCGGCCTGTTGGGGTGGTTCACTTCATAGTATATCCTCGCGCTTGCTTCGGGGCCGGCCCTGGAGAACTGGTAGATGGAGATCCACGTCAGGATCTCGTCGTCGGTCCACGGGTAGCTGTCAGTCCAGTCATGCAGCTTCTCCAGGATCCACGACAACAGCGCAACAGGGGAGTCGGCCCATGCCAAGCCCAGTGTCGAGGGCTTGGTCGCCTGCTCGAGGTTGTAGCCGGAGCCTTCCTGGCGGAACCACCGGCTTCGCTCAACACCTTTGTTTTCTTTCTCGGTGTAGGGAACCAGGCTCTTGAGGTACTGCCACGGGTTCTTCAACAGCGATGGCGGGGATGCCGCGACCATGTTGATGTGTGAGGCCAAGACGTGGTCCGGGTACAGAAGGCCCATGAAGCGGGTGATGCTGAAACCCCAATCACCTCCTTGAGTGACTATGCGTTTATCAGTCTCACAGAAAGCATCAGCAAAGACGAGGAGGCTGACCGTATTGCTCATAACCGAGCTTCAGCATAACCTTGTGCATGACCTCAGCATACTGAGGCAAGCGGAAGCCCGGCTTCTCGGGACCTTCGGAAAAGCCAAAGTTGGGAAGTGAAGGCGCGACGACGTCGAATGAGAGGCCATTCTTCTCCGTCGTCAGCAGCGGCAGGATCTTCAGGACCTCGAGGAAGCTGCCGGGCCCTGATGACGAGTTAATAGTCAACCTCAGCTTCTACGGCCAATAATATTAGACGAAGGCATTCTGCTTACAGCCATGGGCGAAAAGCAAGGGGACAGCTCCGGGTTGCTTGCTCTTCTGATGCAGGAAGTGAATTTCCAGGTCGCCAAAGCCGTCGACCGAGATCGTCGTCGTGAATTGGGGAAACTCGTTCAGCCTGGTCTCGGCAGCCCGCCAGTCGTAGCCGTTGCGCCAGCGATGAACAAGCCTCTCGACCTCGGAGACTGGAGTGCCGTAGTCCCAGCTGTCGGTGAGCCCAAAGGCCGGTGGGAACTTGGCGAGGTCGAGCTTGGAGTGCAACTCTTCGATCTGCGAGTCGGGAACCTCGATCTTGTAAGGCTTGATCGGGGATGCCATCGTGACGATGTCCGGGGCTGTGCCGCTGATGCGAGAGGTTTGGTCCGGGTATGGTTATATATGAGAACTCCTCTCGTAGCTTGAGGAAATAGTTCAAGGTGTAATGCGATGCAACACTCGATAATAAACGCACAAATACAAAGTATGAGATTCGCGGTGTTTTATGTCGGGGTTCAACGAGCGCGCCCTTCTTTGGACCTGAACGTACGTGCCTATGGCGTCAGAGACACTACCAGCAGTACAAACGTCGCTAATACTACGTCTCTGACTAATTCATTGGCGCTGTTGTGGTACCTTGGCTTCTTCTGTCGGGGGATAAGGGGGTGAGGTGAGTGAGGGGCTCCCTGAGGTCTGGCGGGAGTGTTTTTCCAGGGCCACCCATATCAGTAGAAAACGCCATCTGATCTCGCTGAAGGGGGTCTTGGAGGTCTGACATCATGGACATGCTTAGTGGAAATGCAGTGAGATCAAGATACGGCAGGGCGCACTTTTGACATGGACATGAAGGGCGCGCTGAGAAATTGAGCGTTTCTTACAGATAAGAAGCTGAATCATGAGAATTTCTAGGGCATTGATAAAATGTTTGTGCGAGTAAGGTGAAATCGTTGATGCCTCTGCTGAGCTGTGGACATGGTGTTCATCCTTGTGCATCCACGCACCTGTTTACTGAGGTTAAGCTCACTACGATTCACTACATCCTCACTCTGAATAATACACATCAAACATGGTGATAATGAAGAAGAAGAAGAAGAAGAAGAAGAAGAAGAAGAAGAAGAAGAAGAAGAAGAAGAAGAAGAGAAAAGGGGGAGCCAGATCACAATTGGTTGAATATTTCTCATTACACGTGCATGCTGTTAATCTCATTCAACACCGACTTGCTCTCAGTTGATCATAACTGACCACGGCTTCGAGCAGTGTTTGGGCACCGTTAGCGCTGTCAATCGTTAGGCCATTTTTCATTTCAGCATCGGCATCGTAAGTTTACTTACCAGTCCGCCGGGCTGCAATACTCTTCCGGGTGGTGGCTCACCCCGTCTTTGCAAGGGACAAAGATCATTGTGGTTGGGCATCGCTTGCTCGTATAGACGCTGTCATGGCCAGCGCCGCTCGTCAACGGTAGCCACCCGTCGGCTCCGACAAGGCCGTTGGCCGCATCCTCTACGGCCTGGATGCACCCCTTGTCGAACTTGACCGCCGGCGAATCGTTGTCGAGCGTCCACTGCAGCTCCACGCCGCGGCCGTCTTGCTTGGCGATTCCCTCAAAGGACCTCAGGCACTGCTGCTGCACTTCCTCGACCACAGTGTCCTCGGGGTGTCGGATGTCGAGAGTGAAGGTGACATCTGAGATGATGGTATTGGTTGACGAACCACGCGGGATCTTGATGACCCCAGTAGACGCCAACGCGCCAAGCTTCTTCGCAATCGCGTTCGAGGACGCAATCATCTTGGAGGCCGCAAGCAACGGATCCTTGCGTGACTTCAACGGCGTCGTCCCAGTGTGGGCGTCGCGGCCCCGGACATTGAACGTGTACCAGCGGTACGCCTGCGCCCCTTGCACGACACCAATCTTCTTGCCGCTCTCCTCCAGAATGGGACCCTGCTCGATGTGCAGCTCGAAGTGCGCCCCCAGCGGGAAACCGGTAGACGCATCGCTGGAACACGCCAGGGCACCAATGTACCCGTGTCTCTCGAGTTCCGCTTTCACGGTCACGGAGGGATCAAAGATGTCGGCCAGATTCCAGGCCTTTTCGCGCGGGATCTCGCCGGCCCACACCCCCGCCGACATCATCGACCTTGGGAACCGAGCACCCTCCTCGCTGGTTTCCGTCAGATGCCGACGCGGTCTCCCCTGGATCGATACACTCACTTGGTCCAGTTGACGATGCCGACGTCAAACTGAGTCCGGAATCCATTATCCTTCATCGTTCGCATCACCTCGACGGCGGCGAGAACACCGAGGATGCCGTCGTATCGGCCGCCGCGGGGCTGCGTGTCTAGATGGCTGCCCATGGCAGTCATCGGGGCCGGTGACTGGAGAGAACCCTTTCTCTTTGCAAACATGTTGCCCATCTCGTCGACGGAAAGCGAACAACCCAGGTCCGCCGCCTCGTCTGCGAACCAACGCCTCACACGGGCGTCATCGTCAGATAGCGCCAGCCGGGCCATGCCGGTTTCTGTTGGTTCCCTTCACGAACGCATTAAAACCAAAACGCCCTCCCGGCGCAGTAAACCGGACGGGACAGAGATAGCAGATGAACACGCACCTGCCATAACGATGAGCTGCTCCCCATTGGCACGTATGATGAATAGTCTCCTGAAGCCGGTCGGCGTTGATTTTGAGCCGTGATAAGGAACCCCGCGCGGTTGATAGTGGCCTCGCCGAACGAAGGACGGGCAGCAGCGGCTTCGTGCAAGAGATCATCCTGCTGATGAACGGGAATTGGGCATAAATGATGGTAAGCAGAAAGGGCTAGGAGATACCTTGGGTGCAAGAAGCCCAGAGCTCGTGCGGTGTTGACGGAACAGAGAAAGGCGACGTGCATTATACTTCCTAGAGAGGGAGAGGGGGGATAGGCAAACAACCAACCCCGGCCCATCCCATCGGCAAGCTCGCCCGACTTCGGGTCAGAGCCCGCCCATCGTCCAATGCATGGATGCTGGGCGACTCCATCTAGACTGATCTAAAAGTCATCGAGAAGATTGAAATCATCGCACAAGAATAGGTCAGTTAAGGATACCATTGACTTCTTCAAATGCTACTACGAAGCCGCAAAGTAGGCCTTCCTCCACATCGCGGCCCTGCTGCCGGCATCGCCGACGGCCAAGGCGGAGAGGTTCGCACGAGATCCCTTCGACCGGCATCCCGCCACGCCTGTTACGTTCCGGTCGACACTGCGTCACAGGGTATCGCAGTCGCCGAGGACTTGACGACTATCTCGATTTGCGATACAAAAGCCGTCGCCCCGGCGTAGACTGTCGGACCCGGGATGTTGTACGTCCCAGTAGGCGAGTGGGAAATGTCGTAGAGCAGGCCTTCCTCTGCAGGCCGATGCAAGTCTGTCCCCAAGGTGCCCGACGGCTTATCGTTACCTTCACCCGCAATCTCGATGTTGATGCACTGAGGGTAATGCTGCGCGCCCTGTTCGGAATCCCTCGCGTAATGCAGCGCAATGATCTCATGTCTCAGGACGTAGTGTCCCGGCACGACCTTGGGCGGAATCTGCACCGTCCAGCTGGCGTTGTTCCGGATAGGATGTCGGTCGCCCATGTTCCCCACGCAGTTGCAAAACTGGTCGCGTCGGCATCGGGGTCGACAAGTCCAACCTTGTCAATGGCAAAGAAGTTTAGTCTTGTCTTGTCGGCGGCCTCGCAGGATCCGGCCTCTTCCCCGCAGTATGCCAAGTACGTCGTCGTCAACACTGGGCCGTGATGAGACTCGGGCCAGCCCTGCCACTGGAAGCCGATGGTGGTTCCGGCAGTAAAGGGAACGTGGCCTTGCGCGTTGGTAGCGTTCGTATGGCATACAATGTCTGGCTTGCCGTAGCTTTCTGTGCCGGCCCAGCCGTCGTTCTTGACCCACGTGCCCCACGCTGCCAGGACTTTTGGGGTTGTCGAATGCGGGTTGAAGCCTTGATAGGAAGCTCCATTGACTACGAAGTTCAGCACGCGACTATTCCCTAAGGCCAGGCCAGTTAAACCAGCAAAGATGATAACGACGCGGCGCATTGTCTAGTCGAGCAGTCGGGCTTTATTTCTGCCAGAGATATCAGAACGTAGAGCTACCACGGCGTCAACTAGAACCAGTCATATAAGTAGCACCTCGGAGTATCGGTGGCATTTTCCAACTGTCCAAGATAGGTATCATCAGGACACTCTATTTGACTCTGGCGTTGTGGCATTCTGAAGCTGCTTGAATGGCCAAACACGCGGCAGGGGATGGATTTTAATGAACAAGGGTTTATTCAACCGGGACACTGTATTGTGTTAATGAAATTGCTTGTCCGCCTGGCCTCCCGGACTTGGTTAGCGGTTGATCGGCCGATATCCAAGTTCCAGGTGCAACGCCATTGATTTCGTCTAATTTACTCAAGAAGAGGATGGCCCAGTGTTTTCAAGGTTGCCCAATCGTCTTCCAGGCATCGATATTGGCATTACTACAGAAGAAAGCAAGCGAGACACTCGGTAACATCTGCACTCTTTGTCGATTCGGAGAATGGAGGATAAGCGCCCTTTAAAGCGAGGGACCGGCATCAATGCCCATCCTATACTTACTACAAACCTAGCACTAATCTATCCAACACCGTAGTATGCTTTAAAGAGCCGACCCTATCCAGCAGTTCGACTATGTAAGCAAATTGTTGAAGCAAGTCTTCAAGCCACGAATAAAAATAAAGCAAAGAAGCAAACCACCAAAAGTTGGACCATATGCACCTGAAGCAAAAGAGATGGACGATCAGGGAATCGAACCCTGGACCTACCGCATGCTAAGCGGTCATTATACCACTAAACCAATCGCCCATTTGATATTGTTAAAAAGCTGAGAGTAGGCTACTATATAGGTAAGACGTCTTCTCACAAGATCCAGTGGATTTATATAAAGATAATTATCTCTCATTAAATGTGTCTCAACAGGAAGAGTCTTTTTTTCTATCCAGGATGCATCGTTGTAGGCTCCTCTGGCTGTAAAGAGACAACATTGTATTGTAGTTAAGTACATCATCCAGTCTCTCGGTGTCGCCATCAGCCACACTGTTCTAGCGCGCGCCTCCTTGCATTGCTAGACAAATAATTATCAATGCTTCTCGGTTCAGCTGCAGTTGTCTCGACTCATTTCGCGCCTAGTCATAGCTGTAGCCCCTAATCGGGTGAAGGACCTGTTCTAGCCAAAAGCCCTTCGTCAAGTTTTCAGCCGCGCCAGTCTTTTGACAACCGAAATTGTGTCGCGTGTCTGAATTCCTTTTTCGATCATGTTGTCAATCTTTACTATCTAATACCCCATGATCGTGGCGCTGACCGAGACAAGAGGCACGAACCTCTCCCGGACGCCGCAAGACCGCAATTTGCGTCCTGCCCCACGGTACGGCATCTCCGGATCGCATTTCTGGGGGGGCTGAAGGCGCTAGTTTTCTCGCAAACTCGACCCCGTGGTTCTCGGGTCGTGTTACCATCTTGGTTCAGCACAAGCTGGGACTCCTAGCTTAACCTAATCTTTGTTTTCTCCTGAGGATTCGAACATTATCGTGCCTTCAGCTCTTTACACACTTTGGTCGGAGTTTCGGGATTCTCCTTGGCCCAGTTGCTCTTCCAGAACCATATTGGGTTTGTTGACGAGATCAACAAGGGGGAAAAAAGCGTATCCACGCCAAGGGCAGCAGCCCCATCATGGCAAGCCCACATGAACATTCCTCTAGGCCAGCTCCATCACAGGATGAGAAGCTCCTCATGGCCGGTCTATTAGTCTAGTTGGTTAGGACGTCGGATTCTGATTTCACAATCATATCCTTCCGTAGGCCCAGGTTCGAATCCTGGATGGACCTAACTTTTGCAATTCTCAGTCATGCTTGTTTGTCTTTTTGCCTGTCTCGCTCGCCTCTTTCTAGAGGTTTTAGAGATCAGAGATTTTCTGTGTTCCCGCTTTTTTTTGTTGCGGCTCGGATACTAAAATGAGAAAAAGTGGCACAAGCTGCTTGGTTCGTGCTCCCCCGGGCATGGCGTGTAATAGTAATACATGTAATTATTCGTTAAGTAGCGCAGTTGTTGGTGTCTCGGGCCGCCTCCTAGGTCGCTCGCTAGGCAAGAATTCCGGGGAAAAACAACAGTTCACAGACACCCCTTTTTCGACCTTGGCTAGACCAAAGCCATCTCCTGACCTGGCTGGGCTATTATACGCCAGACCCATCTAGCTGAGGTGCGTCAGGTAACTCGTTCAACTCTAAGCGGCAAGGCGTGGCAGCTTCCTTAGGTTGTATGCTGGCACGATTGTGCGTATGGCATATCTGGGAGTGAGAAGTCAGACAGGACTCGGGCCACGAGGCTTTTTCTTCGTTTCCTTTGACAACGAGCACACAGGTCACCTCGAACCGCAAAGGCCTGGGTAACTAGTGTTATAAGAGAGGTGGCAAGAGCCACACAAAATACAACTGTCCTCCAATATTTCTTTCACTTTGTACTCTGATAGCCGTTGTCTCTAGATCAATAGCTCAACCCCATTGCGCACATCACAATGACTTCGCCGCTATCCGGGAAAGACGACATTGAGAAGGCTCACCAGTTTTCCGTAACAAAGAAAGCATTAGCAGTACCGGCCGAGCATCAAAGCGTCTCTTCTCAGAACCAGCTCAAGACTCCGTCAGTTTGGACGAGTCAGACGTCATTGGTGTCCGAGAAGACAGACAGCGAAGATGAGGGTACCTCTACGTTGGTAAATCCATTCGACCTGAATGTATCCATCTTTCTCTTACAGTTACTAGGTGACCTGGGATGGGCCAGAAGACCCGAAGAACCCTAAGAACTGGACTCGGAGTCAGAAGTGGACGGTGAGTCTCCTGCATGATTCAACCCATATGTGCATACGCCCACTGACGGCATCGATAGACTTCATTAATCATTTCGTCTTTCGCATTTCTCTCCCCCCTTTCCTCGTCCATCGCTGCACCGGCCCTCAAACCGATCGCTGAGGATCTACACATCACAAACGAGGTCTACCGTCAGCTGGTGCTGTCCGTCTTCCTCCTGACATATGCTCTCGGGCCTTTTATACTTTCACCCTGCTCAGAGATATGGGGTCGGACACCCATTGTGAGAGTGGGCAACATGATATTCATTATATCAACCACATTGTGCGGGTTCGCTACTTCGAAGGAACAGATCTTGGCCTTCCGGTTCTTGGCCGGCATCGGAGGGAGCGTTACAGTCGGGGTAGATCTTCACCAACCAGGCTTGATGGCATGTGTTTCTGACTCGTTTGATACAGATGGGAAGCGGTATCTTGGCAGACTGTTGGCGACCTGAAGAGCGCGGGAAAGGCATTGCATTCATGCAGTTTGCACCAGTCATAGGTCTGGCAATTGGTCCGATCCGTATGTTGACAACCGCTCCAACCACCCGAATCTTGATGATTCGCTAACATTCGAGATCTTAGTTGGCGGCTACATCTCCCAGTACGCAACCTGGCGGTGGGCCTTTTGGCTTGTAGTCATTGTGAACCTCACCGTCCAGCTGATCGCGCTCTTCTTACTCCGGGAGACGTACGCACCACGTCTGCTTCAGCTGAAGGCTCGCGATCTTCGCAAGGCCCATCCTGGGCAAACCTTCCATACCGAGTGGGAAAAGAAAAACCGCACTCTGCCCGGAATTCTGAAAATCAGCTTATCACGGCCCTGGGTCATGCTGGCAACGCAGCCCATCATTCAGAGCTTAGCAATCTACCAGGCTTTCAACTTTGGGTTTCTCTACCTCATCATTTCTGGATTTCCTACACTATGGGAAGACCATTATGGGATGAGTAAGGGTATCGCCAGTTTGAACTACATCTCGGTCGCTGTTGGATCCATGATCGGTGTCTTGATCTGCGGTCCAGCCATGGACGCGACCTACCACAGACTCAAACTGCGCTACGGTATGAAAGAAGACGAGGTCGGTGCTCCAGAGTTTCGCATACCCTTGATGATTCCAACCGCGTTCATTTCACCGTGCGGTATCTTGCTGTTCGCTTGGTCAGCACAGAACAGAATGCATTTTCTGGTCCCAAACGTAAGAAAATACTTGTAGTCCTCTTTTTTCTGTACCATGGCTGATCGGTGCTAAACACAGATTGGGATTGCCATTACAGTCGGAAGTAGTATGATCTCGTACCAATGCATATCGGCCTACATCGCTGACTGCTTTTCACTTCACACTGCATCGGCATCGGCTGCTTGCTCCTTTCTCAGGTCGATGGCTGCTTTCTCATTCCCGCTTTTTGTCCCTGCGCTGTTCGGTAACCTCGGATACGGCTGGGGTGGGAGTCTATTGGCAATTGTGGCCGTGGTAGTGGGTGTACCGGCCCCATTCCTGCTGTGGAAGTTTGGACACAAGCTGCGGACTAAAAGTCGGTTCGGAAATTCTCGATAAACAAAAGTCGTTCTTAAACTCACTCAATTCTGAATCCTCGCGTACCTAGCGTGAAACTAAGATGACCATTCAGCCGGTGGCAGTGCCATATGTCTCCCCTTACCATTGTAACCTGCCGACTGAGATAACTTTATCCTTTGCTGAGACTCTCTGCTGACTCGATGCCTCCAGTCAGGCGAGAGCTTTTGGTTGTACACGAGCAATAGTTGAGGAAGATACTGGACATCTTGAATACAATATAGGAGGATTTCCGTCGGCAATGGCCGCTTGTCGAATACGGCATAGCTGCCTCCAGACGACGGATCGAAGAGCTTGCGTCCACTATCCTTGACTTTGATCCATTCTCGTCTCTCCGCGGGGCTCAGTGGACTATGTTTATCGATGCACTTCACCAAGCCGCAAAGGAAACCTTTGCGAAGCCCCCGTGATGCGAACTCCATCAGTTGGAGATCCTGAACGCCATCAAGCTTGATGCCAAAGTGAGCGAACAAGGCATCCGAGTCATTGCGGACATCGAAGAAGACCTTTGTGATCTTGGGAGATTCCAGGACGGATTGAAGGGCCTGATTGCTCTTGTAACCCGGAGTCCGAAAGGCTTTGTGCCCAAGAGTGCGGACGTCAATAGGGTTAAAAATATCCAGTCCATGGGGATCCATGGATATCCATAAATATAGATTAGTTTTTTTTTAGATCCATAGGTATAGATTAGTTAGAATAGATATCTAAAAAAAACTAGATCTATAGTTATAGATTTAAAAAATCCTTATATCTACTAAATAAGATAAGAATAGATTTTTAGATTAATCTATATAATAAGAATAGATTCTTAGTTATTAAAGATAACTTAGTAGAGTTAAAAGGGCTTTTATTTTCTTAATATCTTTTAGACTTTAAGAAGAATATATCTTCTTACTATAGTACTTTAATTTTACTTTAGTAGTATTTAAGTACCTTTTAAACGCTATTTTCTCTATTAGCTTAGTTATTTTACTTTTTACTAATAATCTTACTACGCTTTTTAGAAGTAGTAGTTAACTTTTTTACTTTTTATTAATACTTTACGCTTTATATAGTAAGGTATTTATTAATTTTAGCTATAAAATAGTTAATATAAATAGTTAATATATTATAAAAGTAGTTATATACTAGTCTTTATATCTTTAGCTTTTTAAGCTAAGCCTAAATACTAACTAATAGTATAAAGCTTCTTAATAAGGTTAAGGTCTTTACTTATAATAGTTATATAGTTTATATATATAGCTATTAGGTTAGTTACTATAGTAATATTAGTTAAGTTTTTATAAAATATTAAAATACTTACTTTTAAAGACTAAGATAAGGATATCCTCTAAGGCCTCCTATAGAGCTAGAAGAGCTTCTCTCTAGAAGTAGAGGTTAGGGATAATACTACTTATAATATTATAAACTATACGCTAGAAGGTAAGCTTAAAGAGAGCTATTTTTTTAAAAAATATTAATTACTAAAACTAAATCTCTTATAAAGCGTATACTAAAAAAAGAATATTAGAAATATAATAACTTAATATAATAATAAGACTTACTACTAAGTATAAAGTGCTTCTAGTAGTTAAGCTGTCTTATATACTTCTTAATATAAGAAGCCTTAGGAGTTATAGTAGAAATAATAAATCCTAACTTAATAAAAAGTGTTAGATATTTAAGTAAAAACCTTAAGTTAGAAAATAATAAAAAGAAAATAAAAATAAAAAGAAAAAAATAAGTAGATATACTAAGTAGTTATTATTATTATTATTATTATTATTATTATTATTATTACTATAAGAAAAAAAAAATTAATTATATAGTAAAAAAAAATAAAGCTAGTAATTTACTAGTTAGGGAAAGTATATACTATATATTTAGGTAGTAGTAAAAATAAAAGGTATATACTAAATAGAAAGTAAAAAAAAAGTAAAGCTAGTAATCTACTTATTATAAAAAGTATATATTAAATAATAAAGTAAATAAGAGAGGTTATATAAGTTCTAGTCTATATACTATAAATTTTTTTTAAAAAGTAAAAAAAAAAACTTTTCTTAATATATAATCTTTTTATTTATAAAAATAATCCTATAATAAAAAAAAACTTAGTTTAAAAAAGATAATAATACTTAAAAAGAATTTTTCTTAACTTAAAAAGGGAAAATAAAACCTTATAGTAGCTATTATATCTTTAGCTTCTAGCTAGTAAGGTAAGTCTTTTATTTTATAATATAATAATCCCTACTTAATTTATATTAACCCTAATATAGGACGCCCCTAAGGATCTAGCGTAAAGGAAAAAAGAAAAGCTTCTACTAATTACTCTAATAACCTTAACACTACTAAAACTTATTAAAGACTTAAGAATATATTAGAGGTCTAAAAAGTTAAGGTAAAAAGAATAGTTATAATAAATACCTAGTTTAGTAAGAAGTTTATAAAGCTTTAGAAAACAGTAGCTTTTAGGAATATATTCCTTACTACCTAGAAAGCCTAAAAAGCTTTATTAATAGAATAAGGACTACTAGTAAGCTATAGTCTACTATCTCTTAATTTCTTTTCTTTTTATAAAAATCTAGTATCTATAAGAATAGCTATCCTAACTAGTATAATAGCTAAAGTAGTCTTTAAGAGGATAATAATAATAAGATATATAATAATCTTAGTAATAATAACTAAGTAGATATTAATAAGTAGTATACTATTAACTTTACTAAAGATAATAGCGTTAAAGAGGATACTATAGATATCTAGATATTAAAGGCTTAAACGCCTACTAAGATTTAGTAATAGTACCTATAGAAATCTAATAATATAAGTTAAGTTAGTTATTATATTAATTATTATATTTTTAATTTTTATTTAGGCTACCTTAGTTACCTTTTTTACTTACTTCTAAGGAATCTAGCTTACTACGCTTAAGGTTCTCTAAGTAAAGCTATCCTGCCTCTACTATTTTCCCTAAAAAGTAAAAGTAGCTCTTAATAAAGTAGGAATCCTCCCCTAGGATAAAATAGTCCTATTAGTATAAGACTTCTTCTTAATAAAGTAAATCTTCTTATAGCTTATTTTTTCTAAGTTCTAGTACTAAATAGAATTTAATTTAGATATAATATAATATAAGAAGTTAGTCCTCTTAAAAAAGTATACTTAGTAAGAATCTCTAATTAAGCTTTTAGATTTTATACTAATTATTTAAGAGGTAAAACCTTTAATCTTAAGTAGCTAAAAAAGCTTTTAGATACTTACTTAGTAATTATTCTTATAGACGCTATTACTAATATAATGTCTTAGTTTAGAAGATAATTTAAGATATTCTTAAGATATTTACCTAGCTAGATAATTAGGAATAGCTTACTTTACTAAGTCTTACTAAAATATAGAAAAATATTAATTAATTTTTTATAAAGATATTAAGATTATAAATCTTTTATTTTAATATTATAAGTCCTAGCTAGTAGTAATAGTAAAGTATATTATAATGCTTTTTCTTAAGAACTTTTACCTAGATTTCTAGAAGACCTTTAATTAAGTATATATTAAGAACTTATTTTAGTTTTACTTTCTCTTAAGTAAAAAATAAAAAATAAGTTTTAAGAATTATAAATAAAAACACTAGGATTTTTAAGGTCTATATATTCTTTAAATTATTTAGACTTTAAAGTAAAAATATCTCCTTACTATAGTATTTTAATTTTACTTTAGTAGTATTTTAGTACCTTTTAAACGCTATCTTCTTTATTAGCTTAGTTATTTTACTTTTTACTAATAATCTTATTATACTTCTAAGAAGTAGTAGTTAACTTCTTTACTTTTTATTAATACTTTATACTTTATATAGTATAGCGTTTATTAATTCTAGCTATAAAATAGTTAATATAAATAGTTAATATATTATAAAAGTAGTTATATATTAGTCTTTATATCTCTAGCTTTTTAAGCTAAGCCTAGATACTTACTAATAGTATAAAGCTCCTTAATAAAGTTAAAGTCTTTACTTATAATAGTTATATAGTTTATATATATAGCTATTAGGTTAGTTACTATAGTAATATTAGTTAAGCTTTTATAAAATATTAGAATACTTACTTTTAAAGACTAAGATAAGGACATCCTCTAAGGCCTCTTATAGAGCTAGGAGAGCTTCTTCTTAGAAGAGAAGGTTAAAGATAATACTACTTATAATATTATAAACTACACACTAGAAGGTAAGCTTAAGGAGAGCTATTTTCTTAGAATATATTAATTACTAGAACTAGATCTTCTATAAGGCGTATACTAAAGAGAGAATATTAGAAATATAATAACCTAATATAATAATTAGACTTACTACTAGGTATATAGCGCTTCTAGTAGTTAAGCTGTCTTATAAACTTCTTAATATAGGGATACTTAAGAGGTATAGTAAAAAAAATAAATCTAGACTTAGTAGAAAGTATTAAAATTATATTAACCTAATATAATAATCTAATATAAAAATCTTTACTATATTAATATTTATAACTCTTTAAGCCCTTAGGTATAGTTTATAAGCTACTTAATAAGATTTATATTTAGCTTTATAATTATAGCTTATTTTATATAAGTTACTATAAGCTAGGTTACTATAAAATTATTAGATAATAATTTAATATAAAAAAAGATAATATACTTTAGAATATAGAAACTAAGAGGGCTTTAGTAGTCTCCTAGAGATCTATAATAGTAGTTTTTATAAATTTAATATTAGAGGTTGCAGCAAGACCTAGTTTGCTTGGCAGTAATTGATCCTCTTGCTTTGGGCTCACTCCGACGTACTTGCTTAGGCCCCATTCTCCAAGGGGTCGAGCTAGGTTCCAGGCGGCTCGACGGTCCTGTTAAGATCTGGCGATATCCGGTTACCTGGGACCAGAACCATTCCTACGGGCACAATCACAGGCAGTATACTTAACTAGGGCTTGTTCATTAGCGGTCGGGTCCTCGGGCAAGTTAGTGTGCTAGCGCTAACTCGGTCCCGCCACCATAGGGTGTCTCTGGTTCAGATTCACGGCTTCTTACCTTACTGACATCCTTCTGGTTCCAAACTTCCCCACGTTGCTCGCACGTTCTGGAGGCTGA